CATCACCCCTCTGCACATTCGCAGCATCACCTCAATCGCCTCCTTCAAAAGAGACTTAAAGACTCACCTCTATAACCACGTGCTTTCGAGCGACTCTGAACTTGGCTCCGCGCCTCTGAGTTGCGGCCACTACGTCCGCAAATTTGCGCGCGTTATAAATTGAACTATTATTATAATTAAGACAAAGATCCCCGAATGGGCCGAGCAGGCTGTTAGGGCAAGTGCTGTTAGCGAGTAGCAGCTAATGAAGGCCGGGCACGGCTCGACGCGAGGGGGGGTGGGTGACCAACACCACGCCCGGCCGCCTTTGTCTTCCCCGTGCTGATGTTTACACAGCAGAGACCCAAATACCCTCATTTGAGGTAGATTTGACCCAGGAGAGCGGGAATAGAAACTCGGGAGTCGCAGAGTTCTTGGCGTAGCGCGCTATCCACTGCGCCACCGCTCCCCACACAACTGCCTTGAGCGAGCACCAATAAAGGTGGGCATCACCACGCCCTTAGGCACACACAGCACATACACAACAATAACATCTACCGCCGGCCGCCACAAAGTGGGGGTGACATCACCAAGGCGATTGTGCCAAGCTAGGTGCACTTTGAGGCCACGTGAATTGGCTGGAAGGAGGTCACGGAACAGACCCAGGTGCCATGGGTGAGCCGACTGAGATAACTTGCAGATGCACCAACTGCGCTTCCCACTATGCCAACTTTCTTGGTTTTATCCGACTGGCACTCTGCTCGTTGTTGTGAGAGTCGCTCCTCTGCCCTCCGTTGTTGCCGGAGGGCGACTGATTCCAACTCTCCAGTAGCGCCCTTCACGAACCTCCTCTACAGATGCCGAGCTTGACATCGCTGATACCAGTCATCGGGAAGTCCACTCACCTCCACATCCATCTGTATCGCATCAGCTCCATCTCTTCTGTGGTCCGTGTCGCGCCCGTTAAGCCCCCTCTATCCGCCAATACAGAAGCTGCTTGGACATGCCGGAGGAGCTCACCGATGGTACCGTGTCTAGATCTCTCAAGGACCTTTGGGCTGCTCACACAATCCAGTCTGGTTAAACCCATGATGGCTTGTAGGCACAGACACAAATATCCCCCGTATAACCTTAATAGACTGTTGGGGCAAGTGCTGCTAGCGAGCACCTATGAAGGCCAGCACGGCACACGAAGAGAAGGATGGCCAGCACCACGACCGGCCGCCTTTGTCTCCCCAGCGGCGATATTTACACACCGCACAGGTACTTATTTGAGGCTGAGTCGACCTAGGGGAGGCCCAGCACCCGCTCAGACAATCGTCGCTGGGTGTTGGCCGTGAGCGGGAATCGAACTCGGGTGGCCGGGTTCGTAGCGCAGCGCGCCAACCGCTACACGACCGCTCCCCTACACACACGCAGACACGCACACACAGGCATGCACACGCACGCATATAATCACGGCACTCGCACCACAGAGAACAGCCCCCCCGAGTATTAATCACGGAGCTGTGTTGCACCCCCCCTCCCCCTCCCACGCAGACAAATTGCACCTACCCCAGGTGGCTTCTCATCTGCACCAGCCACCGGCGATCGCCTCCATTGGCGCCCTGCGAATCCGCGACCACAAGGCAGGGCCCACCACGGCGCCTGCGGGCCGGTGACGCCGCTGTCGAGTGTGTAGGCGGTGCAACTGCGCCGGGCTATGGGCTATGAAGAGTGGAGGCTGGGGTGGGGTGGGGGGGTGAATTTGGAGAGGGAGGGCCCCATTTGATAATTATTCCTTGCACCGGGATCCATGCCCACCAAGCCACGACGACACGGCGGCTCTCGATGTGAGTCTCTGGGTATCTTTTCGTGTCTCTCTCTCTATATATGCGTGTGTCTGTGTGTGTGGGACACTAGCACACAGACACGCGCGCAGACAGAGAGACGGACAGACTCACAAAGACACCCCCCCACCCCAGTGCAATAGCGTGGGTGGCATGGGTCCTGGTGCAAAGAATACAATGGGGGAGGGGTGGGGGGGGGGGGCTTTCCCCCCCCCGGGTGCGTGGGACCCCCAGCGCACTCCGCATCTGCGCGGCGATGTCACCGGCTGCCGTTCAATGCGCACTCAGCCCCCCCCCCCCCCATCTACCGCCTCCTCTCTCCCTCCGTCTCACTCGTTGAACGTCAATGCAGATAAGGCGGCTTTTAGTGGAGGCCGATACATTTTTTTCCCCTGCATAATTTATTGTAACGGCCGCGACCAAGCGTGCACCCTGCGCCTCTGGGTCCTCCTCCTGATGATGTTGTTGTTGAGATACATCGGCCGATTCACGGGCGCCCACACATCCGAGTGGACCCCGCGGCTCTCCGCGCCACATTCATCACGTGCGGACATTTCGCAGCGGACACTCTCTGGGCTGTAGTTCTCTGTGCGCAATCGGCGTGGCCCGCGGACTGATTGCGCCGATTTGGGTTGGCACAACTCTGCTCGTCGTGCCAATCCAAATCGGCGCAAGATAGGGGCTTAGCGCGCAGCGTTCTTTATTTGTTTTCAGAGGGCAGGAGCCACCTTCGCCGATAAGACATCGCCGGTGTGAGAGCCGCCACGCCATTTGAGACCAGTGGGGGTTTCACAACAGCAGCACGCCGATTACACTGGTCAACCGACTTTTTCTGGCACAAGGTATTCCAACGGGTTTAATGTAATTTTGGGGTGCTGATTCTAAATCTGGCATCAGTTTTTGTCTATCACATCAGGTTTTTGAGATATCAAATATTGCATTTTCAATAAAAACTGCAGAAGAAAAATATTAAATAAATGTGGATATCTACATAAAATGATATTATAAACACACTATTCTAAAAATACAGCACCATATTTTAACACTAAAGCAGTCACTGACTCGCAACAACTTGCAATCATAAGTGACAGAGTTAATTTCGGGTAAAATCAATGAAAATGGGGTATGCCGATAGCATAAAAATGAGATGTGATAGAGCAAATCTGAGATCAGATTTGGAATCAGCACCCTGAAATTAGTCTAAAACAGCTGCAAAAGTCCAGGCCAGAAAAAAAAAGTTTTTGTTGTTGTTGACCAGTGTAAGACATCGCCGGTGCGAGGGCCGTCACGCCATTTGAGACCAGTGGGGGTTTCACAGCAGCACGACGACGATGATGATGATGATGGGGGGCGTTTTCACTCTTTGTGTATTGTAGAGGGGGGGGGGGGCGCACTAAAGGCAACAGGGGCCGCCAGGAGTCCCTGGTGGCCTTGCAACGAAGAACCCCGCGTCGTTGGCAGATTGGAGGCTGGGCATTGAATCGTGGCCGGAAAGCGGTGTGAGGTGTAATGCGGAGGAGGTTGTGGTGGATGGAGCGCATGGTGCAGGATGGAGAGCCACAGACAAGGAGACGCAACCGGTAGGATGGGATTAATACTTGGCCGGAAAGTGATGGGCAGTGTGTGTATGTTGAACTTCTTTCGCACCGTACGTAGCCAACCGCGCTAATCGGAGGCGCGGGGGAAGGACAACACTAAACACAAAAAGCAGTTCAAAAGAAATTAGTTTTAAATCTAGAAGATTTTAAAGTGCACAGCTCCAGTGGCATCCGACTATCGGAAGAAAAGAGCGTTCCAGACGGCCGCAGAAGCGCACCTGCAAGCGCGCGATGCAGTGGCCGTCTTTGTTGGATGGTCAGCCAGAATAAATGGCGAGGAGGTGATTGTGAAGGGCCCTCTATGTGAGTTTGTTGGTCTCTGTGAGTCGATAGGTATCGTTGTGAGTCGGTGGGCCTCTGCGTGTATGACTGAGTCTCTCTATCCATGCCAATGGTGACCGGACTTCGACCATCTACTCGCTACGCTTGAGATCCCCGTTTAATTCAAACTCAGGCAGTCCCCGTTGAGATATCTAGGCAATAAAACATAACTAATAAATAGATAAGTAAACGTCACGAATCACAGGGTGCTTTGCATGCCGAGGTGACATCGCCAATGCTTCGCGCATTTCCCCCCGGTTACGCAGTGCGGAGTGCCAGGGCTTCCCCCACCGGCTTCACGCACGCACGGCCGCATCATTGCCCGCCGCCAAAAAAACAACAAAATCCGCAACACATCTTCTTGGTTCTTTCGGTAAAGTCACGTAGAAGGGAAATAATAAAATAATAAAAATAAAACATAATAAAATAATTCTCACGACGTTTCGGCCACAACGCAAGCAGCCGTCCTCAGGTGAAGAACAGGTCTGTCGAGAAGACAGTCTGAATTTGTCTTGTCTTGAATTTGAGTCTGAATAATTTCATAATGTTTTATTTTTATTATTTTATTATTTCCATTCTACGTGACTTTACCGAAAGAACCAAGAAGATGAATCCCTGCAGTCACGAAAGCTTTAAATCGAAAAAAAATCCGCAACACAGTTTCACTCTCGCACGTTCGACCGAACCTAGCCAGAGCTCCGAAGCCAAGCAGCGTCGGGGTCCTGCCTGGTTCGGTGTCTGGATGGGTGACCACCAGAGTTTGTCAGTGGGCCACCGAGGTTGTGGCCACACTATGGCAGTGCTGAGTGGTTAGATCACGTAAATATATAAATGTGTCGTTAAAACTCGCCACCACCCGACACAGCCAAGAACTAAACAGGTGTCGCCTGATGAAGCGAGTTGTAATTACTGGCGAAACGTCGTACTCGGATTGTAAATGTTGTGGCTTGGCTCTCCAACACACCGGTGATGCTGTACTAGTATACTACACTACACTATACACTACACTATACACTACATTATACACTACACTATACACTAGTGCTGTACTAGTGACGAATTGTCCACGTTGTTTACGTGACAACCCTTACTATTTGGCTGTGTCGGGTGGTGGCGGTTTTAACGACACATTTATATATTTAGGCGATCTAACCGCAAAAAAAACCTCTATTATGAACCCAAAAGATGTTTTTATAAAAAAAAACATGACTCGGCCAAGCATCCTTATTGTAGCATGAATCATCTCTTCACGCTCATCGAGACACACAGGAGATAACGTAAGGAGTGTTTAATAGAACCGTCCAGTTATTCGCGTCGTTACTACATTGCATTTGAAAGCGGCACTACTACAGACGAAGTGATAGATAAAACCGGTACAAGTGTTATACGGTATACAGTAGTTAAAGCCTCCGGAATGTCACGCACTATGCGACCTCTAATCGGGTTCGCCGATCTACAGCACAGAATGGGACTACAGCAGTGGAGTAGGTTACGGAGGGTACAGGCGGTGCAACTGCGCCGATGCCACCACGTGAGTCGGAGGGGGACCACGCAGGCGACGGGCTGAGAAGGGAATGGGAATTGGAGTTGTGGTCTCGGGGAGGCTCTGGGCATGCGAACCACGCCACTGGACTTTCGGAGAAGGAGCTATACGATGTAGCCGCGTGTGGCATTGTAGCCGGCAAAACGTGAAGAGCCCAGGCGGAGTGCTGAACCAGGAGGAGGAGGAGGGGAGGAGTCGTGGGAGGAGGGACAAGAAGGAACCCAGTACCCGAGTGTAGCTGAACACGTGGCCACGCAGCCCGTGGCCACGTGATGCCCAGCGATTTTAAACGGCCCCGCCAACGTCGCTGCAAGCATCTTGGCCGCACTGGTCGGGTACTAGAGGGGAGGGAGGGGTGGGGTAGCGACGTGAGCGCGCTCATTTATTTCTGTCGCCGTCACTGCAAGATGCGCGCACGACTCTCGATGGGTCTCTGCTTTGCCGGTACAACACTTAGGGCCGCACGCTGGGGGCTCGTGTTTGGTTGGCGGAGACGTGAGAGCATTGCTCCAGACGAGGGAGATTTCACGTTCGGTTCGCCATTCACTTCTTTCGTGGTCAAACGCCACCCGTGCGTCCAGTCACGGGCATCTTTGCGGCTTCTTGGTTCTTTCGGTAAAGTCACGTAGAAGGAAAATAATAAAGTAATCAAAATAAAACATAATAAAATAATTCTCACAACGTTTCGGCCACAACGCAAGCAGCCGTCTTCAGGTGGAGAACAGGTCTGTCGAGAAGGCCGACAGACCTGTTGTGGCCGAAACGTCGTGAGAATTATTTTATTATGTTTTATTTTTATCATTTTATTATTTTCCTTCTACGTGACTTTACCGAAAGAACCAAGAAGATGAATCCCTGCAGTCACGAAAGCTTTAAATCGAAATCTTTGCAGCTGTCCAGGGGGTGGTGGTGGGGGGGTATAGAGCACGCAATTAACGTCCCGTAAAAAGGTAGGAATTGATCGTTAGTCGTATTATTATCACTACTACTACTTCTACCGTATGTCAAGTGGCTGTCGTGTCACTACCCGGCATGCAGATGGATACAGAGGCAAGAGACGCAGAGAGACGGGAGGGAGTTTGTATAAATAAGGGAATGAAAACACAGAGTGGCGTGTGCAAGCGTTGTGATGTAGTGAGCAGTCACTGGCGCCTCTGGTGTTGCATTTAAGAGTCTCTTGTCATTTCATTTTCATTCGAATTTCAACAGCAGGCTGCTCAGAAGTCACCGCTCCCCTTAAAATTCGATCAAATTCCCCGCCGTGGCCACCCCATCTCCTCCGACCGCCTCCCCAAATTCAGCATCTTCCCCATCTTCTCCCCCGCCTCCTCCTCCTCTGTTCCCCTTGCGACGCGAGGGGGCTTTGGGGTGCCCATCAACAACGACCTGATCCCCTTGAGGTGACGTCTGAGGATGGGTCTCGTCGACGGCTTTGGCTTCTTGTGCTGGCGCGACAGCACCACCTTCACCACGCACTCCTCCTCCTCCTCCTCCACCATCCATCATCATCACCATCATCATTGGCGCTGGCGGTGCCATAACCGTTGACATCATCGCAGCGGTGATGTCCATTGGTACCACCACCACCACTACCAGCAGCAGCAGCAGCAGCAGCACCACCACTGGCACTAGCGCCACCGCTAACAGGGTCGGCGGCGCCTGCAGATCCCGCATCGTCGTCGCAAACTCCTTTATCCAAGGCCCCGTTCGTGCGCGCGGCATCCGCGGACGAATCCGCCACGGCCGCCGCTGCTGGCGCCTGCCCGCTGCCACCGTGGTCGTGGTCGTTTCCTCGGGGGGCCGCGGGGGAGGGCGGCTGCTGCTGTCCGGGGGAGGCGGGGACGCCCTCGTCGAGCACCGCTAAAGCCCCGTCGCCGTGGGGAGTTCCCGGCGACACCGCGACGCCATCCGTCGCCAGCGGAGTGGGTCCCCGGGGCCCCGGCTTGGCCGCCACCTCGTCAACATTCCCCCGAGTTGCCAACTGCGCCGCGGCCGTCTGTGCGCAATCGTCCGCCCGCGGCGATGTCGCCGTCTCGCCGAGCTCCGGCACCGATGCGACTTCACTGCCCCGGACGGAATCCGCTTCGGAGTGGCGCTTCGTCGAGGGTGCTACGATCGCCGTGGGCGTCTTCGCAGCCTCTGCCGTCGATGCCACCGCCGTCGCGCGTTTGTCCTCGAGGCCCCGACCCTGGCTCTCGGTGACCCCCTGCGGCGGAGTTGGCTCCATTGCCATCCTGATGACCTCCGTCGCGACCGGGAGAATCGGATCGGGTTCGGGCGCCGTGGAATCACCGCCGTCGTGGTGGGAATTCCGTTTGGGTTTGTCTGCCGCGTGCGTCGCCTCCACCGCATCCCTCCTCACCCACACCTCCTCCACCTCCTTCTCGACGCGCTCCGCATTTGATTCCAATTTCACGGCGAAAGTCCCCGCGTCGGATCCGGAGCTCGAGCTGGGTGCGATCTGTGGCGGCTTGCCGGAGCCTGGGGACACGGCCAGACCCGCGTGTTGCGGTCGCGTCTCGACCCCCGGCGGTGACCCCGCTGCGGTAGCGGCGCCTTCCTTGCCCGGCGCTCGAGTAGCCGCCCCGTGCCCCGCGTCGCCACCGCGGGACTCGGGGCTCTTGGCTGCAGCAGCTGCGGCTGCCTCGCCAGGGTTCGGTCGGCATCCCTCCCCCGCCCGCCCGCTCCGGTGCGACCCTCTCGTCGCCGGCGGGCCGCCCGGAGCCCGGCTTCTGCTCGGACGACTGCCGACTCCGCGGGCGAACCGCCTGGCTGCTCCCGCCCGCTCGTCGCTCTCGTTCCCCGGCATCGCTCCGAGCTCCTTCGCTGCCGCCGTCTCCGCGGCCGCGGCTCTCTCGGCCACGTCTCCCGCCGGTTTTGTCTGCGTTGACCGAGCCTCGGGGTCCACCTCCGGTGACGCGGCCTCTCCCTCGGCTCCCGCTTCAGGGTCCGCGTCCTCGCTGGGCGATCCTGCGGCCGTCTGAGCTGCCCGACGAGAGCCTCCGTCGGCCTCGAGGGCGACCGCTCCGCCCGTTGCGTCGTCCGTGGCCTCACTGCCCGCGGTCTCATCGGGGCCTCCAGCCTCGCCCGCGTCCTGGCTCCGGGTCTCCTCGACTGCGCCCTCCGCGTTGCCCGCCTGCTCCGCCTGCTCCGTCTGGCTCTTGGCCTCGTCCGTATCGCCTCGCCCCTTCCTCTTCTTGCTCATTTTCGCACCCATTGTCCTGGGCGGAGAGAGAGAGACACACACGCGGGGAGAGAGACAAATTTGTCAGACAGCGAACCCGGGAGTTTTTAGCGTAAATGCACTGTAACTAAAAAAATTTACATCTATAGAGCAGGAAAGTAACCTGAAATGCTTCGGGTGTTCTGCAGGCAATTCTTCACGCAGGTAGATCTGCTCTAAAATAGTTTGAGACATCGTGAATATTTGATGCGAACTGCGAGCAATTCCACGCGGTAGCCCTTCCTCGTGTGCTACTCCTGGAGAAGCCAAGGGGTCACGCGTGACTCGACTGACTTGTCCCTGAACAACCTGAACACATTTGAGCTATTTGAATGACGTTCATGAGAGCCCTGTGTTCATCCACCGCTGGACGAAGGCCTCTCCCCGCGTCGCGTCGGGCATGGGAAGAGTTGTTTGGGCACAACTCACGGCACTGATCGGTGCCGGGCTTGTGAACGCGGGGGAGAGAGAGGTGGGTGGGGGGGGGAGCCCAGAATGGATGCACGCATCACTCTGATGTTAGCCGCGATCGGGAATCGAAGTCAGGTCGCAGGGTTCACAGTGCGGCGGGGTGCACCATCCACTGCTCCATCGCTGCCCTTCATCGAGTCGATCACGCGGCCGCACGCTTTAAAAAAATAAATAAATAAAAACCGTGTTGGAGCGGTGGCGCAGTGAGCAGGGCACCGCGCCGTGCACCTGGCGACTTGCTTTTGACTTCCGGTCACGCGGCCACCGTCAATGGCGAGGTAAATCTGACCCGCACCAGTGCGGTGAAATATGGTGAAACAGCCCGATTGGTCGGCGCGGAAAAACCTTCGGACAGCACGGGATTAAACCAGGGCTGATATTTAATAATGTATGTGATATATATGCATGCACATACGGTACAGACGATGGTGGTTCATCACTATTGCCGTTCAGTGCCGCTCTTTGAATAATTAAATCCAGCTTGTCCACCTACCGTACCTGCTGCGGGCGCGCGAGTTTTGTGCAGTTGGCGCGGATTAAGCGACGCGTCGTTTACCCAATGCTCACGTGTCCCCGTGGTCGGGCTAAAGCTAAAGTGGGCTCCTGCTCATCGGGCCCCGGTGATGCGCATCAATCATTGCAAGTGACCGCGCAGCCCCTGTTCACTTATTTATGATGTAGCGTGCAGTGTGCGTGGTGGAGGGGTGGGGGTGAAGGGGAGTGGGGGGGCTGTCGGAGTCGCGACGTAATTGTTGACAATCGGATGACGCTGGAGGTCGAAGATTCGGATAGAGATTGGCACAGACAGCGAGACAGAGGGATAGACAGACTGACTGACGGACAGACAGACATATCGATGCTCGGACAGATAAAGAGATAGAGGAACAGGCATACGGACGGACAGACACATGGATAGATGGACAGACACATTGATAGGTGGTTGGACACGTTGATAGATGGACGGAGGGACGAACATGAAGACGGACAAATTGACGGATAGACACGCAGACACACAGCAGCAAGGACAGACAGACAGACGAAAGGACAAACACACAGACACACAAGATAAACTCGCCGGATCGTGACGAGCTGAGCTCCATTCACGCAACGGGAGCACGCAGCCGTTGCTGCATCTTCCCGGTCCCCCCATTGAGCAGGGGTCGACATTTGTATTTTTTATTCATGTATTTACTTCAATGCCAGACCAAGACAAAGTGCCTCGTTTTCCCCCGTGTAGCCTTTCACATACAAGTTGGGGCAAGTGCCATTAGCGAGCACATTTTAATGGAGCACACCCAGGTATGGGTGGCCAGCATCACTCCCGACCGCATTTGTCTTGAGGCTGAGTCGACCTAGGGGAGGCCCAGGACCGCTTCAGATAATCGTCACGGGAATCGACACACTCAGACACGTGTGTGTGTGTGTAGCGAGTAGCGCTACGCTGCGCTACGAACCTGGCGACCCGAGTTCGATTCCTGCTCACAGCCAACACCCAGCGACGATTATCTAAACCGGTCCCGGGCTTCCCTTAGGTCGACTCAGCCTCAAATAAATACCTGGTGCGGTGTGTAAACATCGCCACTGGGGAGACAAAGGCGGCCGGGCGTGGCGTTGGCCACCCCCTCGTGTGACTTTTCCGGCCTTCATGGGTGCTCGCTAACAGCACTTGCCCCAACAGTCCGTTAAGGCTATACGGGGGATCTTTGTCTTTGTTTTATAAACTGTACACACACTGTCCGCTCGAGTCGTATGCCACTAGAAACATGCCATCTTTGACGCACGAGTGTGCCACTGTTCTGACAAGCGACGTCTCGTCCCTCAAACGCTGCGTCGCGATAAGCCTCTGGCGTTGTCCGAGCAAAACAAAAACCCCACAACGAACGAAACCCACGTCGCTCTCGTCCTCCTCGAACCTGGACCTACGAGGAGCCTTCGCTGGAGACGAGCTACTTTATTTCCCTTCTAATCGGAGCGGTGGCACGGAGTACACCGACTGAGCCCGCTCGCGACTCCTGAGATCCGGGGTTCGAATCCGGCTTTAATTGGCCTCAAATGAGTACCTCGTGCGGTGTGTGAACATCGCCACGGTGGAGACAAAGGGGAAGGGATTTAAATCTCTACAACACATTTGTTTACGTGTTTTATTTAACCGGGTAAGGCTCCACTGAGCACTATAGATGTTTTTCAGAAGCGACCTGGCCACAAACGACGGCTCAACCACGTGGACATTTATAAGAGTTAAGTACTCTAAACGCGTGACGTTCATTCTAAATGTGGAGGGAAAAACCGGAGGACCCGGAGAAAAATCCACGCGACCACTGGGAGAGAGAGACACGCAGACTCCAAATATACAGCAGGCGTCAGGGTCGGGGTCGAACCCACAACCTCCTGTATACCATCTCGACACCAGTGACTCAACAAAGATCCCCCGTATAGCCTTAACAGACTGTTGGGGAAAGTGCTGTTAGCGAGCACCTATGAAGGCCGGAACGGCACACGAGGCGGTGGGTGGCCATCACCACGCCCGGCCGCCTTTGTCTCCCCAGTGGCGATGTTTACACACCGCACGAGGTACTCATTTGAGGCTGAGTCGACCTAGGAGAGGCTCTGTATTTACTTCAATGCCAGACCAAGACAAAGTGCCTCGTTTTCCCCCGTGTAGCCTTTCACATACAAGTTGGGGCAAGTGCCGTGAGCGAGCACATTTTAATGATGAATTGGCACACCCAGGTGTGAGTGGCCTGCACCACCCCCGCCCGCATTTGTCTTCCCAATGCTGATTTTTTTATTTTTTGCACGGCACCGGGTCCTTATTTGAGGCTGAGTCGACCTAGGGGAGGCCCAGGACCTCTTCAGATAATCGTCACGGGAATCGACACACACACAGACACGTGTGTATGTTATAGCGGTTAGCCCCTCCTCAAACGTTCTGACTCGCCCCGAATGGACATCTGTGATCAAGAGCTTTGTAGCTCATCGGATTTCTCCTGCAGTATAAGTACATATTCTGATTCTCTGAGTTTTGACTGCCGTGCAACGAACTCTTTTCTCTCTGTAGCAGGATGTGTGAAGCAGCGCGCCCCGGGCGCGTCGATAATACGGCCACCTGAAGGGACCTTGGAAGCAGTTCCATCACATCCCCTTCTGCGGGCCGTTCTCTAACACGAGGGGCCCATGCGTTGCTCTGCGGGAGTTTCCGAATCGACACTTTAATTGTATGACGTGACGCAGGTAGCACAATCGGAATTAAATTCGAGCGAGAGCACCTAAAAATAAAATCTCAAATCGAGACAGAGACGCCGTGTGCTTAAATCTGAACACACGCCCCGTGTTAATGATAATTAGTCAGTGCTGATAATCGTGAACTAAAAATATCACCCAGTGAGTACATCGGTCCTGGAAATAGTCGGGACACGAATAGACAATATCATAATCTAAACATATCATCATCATCATCGCCTTATAAGCATGAGTCTCAGTTTACTTTGCTCAAGTCAGTGATGGCAATGAGTGGAGTGGCTCACGCACTGCACGATGATCCCGGCCACGGCTAACGTCAGTGGCGAGTCATGTCTGAACCACTCACTGGTGCCTGCCCTTCGCCAAACCCGCACTGACCAGCGTGGTGAAGTATGGTCGAACAACCCTCGTGAGCGACACGGCGCGGAGCGGCCGTCATTCAGCGGTGGATTGACGAATGGCTGTCGATTAAAATAAATATATATATAATGTAATAATCGTACGAATAAGGTTTTATAGTATATATGAATCAAGTTATATATTATATATGAATACATTTATAGATTATAATTGAATTAGGTTACATTTATATATGTATTCAAGAAAGCTTCGGTGAGTCTCAAGACTCGCTTTCAGGAGGGTCCTGCATTGGCAAATTCCATCTGACGCGTGTTTTTCTTGTGCCCGGAATTAATCGGAGCGCCACGGAGTACAAATGAACGGTCCACAAAGACGGCTTCACGAACCCATTCCCGGTCAGCCATTTCCAGGCCACCTCGCAGCCCAGCGAATTTGACAATTCTCTGTGTGACCCACCGAGCCTTGTTGCCAAAGCGCAAGGCTCGATCTCAAGCCTACATCACCACGCCTTGGCCTTCCTGCCCCCCCCCCCTACTCCAGCCACATCTCTGTGCGTGTTTTATAAACACACCGCTCAAAAAAAGCAACCCGATACTCGCCGGGTGGCAGCGGTGGCTACGCTGCTGCACGTGACCGCCTGCAGTCCAGCACTCGGGACGCAACAGCAGCTCGAGGGGTTGGTGGTTCACCCGCACACACGCAGATGTTGTCGTGAAACTCCCTTCCGGTGCGCGTCGAGGAGCTGCAATACCCTGGCTCGCCAGGAGAGGGCGGTACAGCAAGTGGACGATTCGCCATCTGTTCCCATCGGTACGGGATTGAGTGTTGCTCCCTCGCGGAAGGCGTGGGGTTTCTCTGGGAGCTCCCGTTTCCTCCTCCCATGTGTATAATAATAACAATAATAAACACAATTCATCATTAATTGGATGAAAACATCCGAAAATAAATAGCCAATGTAGCAGGGCCCTCTTGACAAACAGTCGCACGACTCCGCGTGGCTTTTCTGGATAAATAAGTAATTGTACGTATGTAACACACGCGTCCTTCTCCACCCGCTCGCGTTATTTCACTTTAATTAATTACGTTTAATCAAAGGACGAACGTAACTAATGTTCCGCGCGTCATTAATGTAATTAGGACATCGGGAAAAAAAGAAAAAAGCTAATGACCTTGGTACCACCCAGGAATTGCCTTGAGTGATTGGGAGGGAAGAGCGGGGATGACGAAGCGGTGGGAGGGGAGGGGAGGGAATGGAGGAGGGGGGGAGTGCAGGGGCAGCGGGGAATGAAGGCGACTGGACGGGAAGGGGGGGGAGGGCGATCTTAGGAAGCAGGGGATCAAGAGGGAGCGACAAGAGGGGGAGGGGAGAGGAGGGAGTGGTGGAGGGCGGTGATAACGTCTGGGGGAGGGGTGGGGAGGTTGGCAGGGAGAGTTGGATGGGCCGCAGTGATCCCGCGTTGAACCGAGCACCGCCACCCCCAGGCTAACGTCGTCTCGCGAATGCTCTCTGCGATTGCCCCCGAAACAGCAGCAGGCGGGGTGCCAGCCTTTTGTGATACGGTTAACCGTCTCGGCCATTAGGCCCTCTCCGTTTGTCTTCATAAACATCCTCGCCTGCGCTACCGTAACCCCGACCAACTGGTTTTTTTTTAGACGCGAATACATAACCAACATCACCAACCAAAATGTTATCTGACCTAAATATGCCTCCTCTTCCTCGTTTTTTGTTTTGTTTGCTAACTCGGAGCTGATAAAAAATGTTATCGCACGGAAAATTTCCATTCGCGGCACGAGAGTGCCTTCATCCATCAGAAGATAAAGCGCGGTCAGTAATTATCGTACCACCGCCCTCCCACCCGTATCGTGATACCCTCGACTTGATAAGATAACCACCGTGCGCATTATTTAATATCTTAAGAGGCGGCGATTTTCATCGGGGGAGAACGTAACGTGGCTTTGTTTCATCTCATTGATTTCTCGGCACGCCCTTGCCTCGCGGGGGGGGTTCTTATTTTGAAAGCTCCCAGACCCCCCCCCACCCCAGTCCACTGACAAATCGTGAACAGAGAAGTGGCTTCATCTCTAGAAATTGACTTCTCTCCCTCCTGCCCCCCAACTCACCCCCTCGCGGAAGAGTCTCGTCGAGAAACCTCACAATCACTCCCAGCACCACCACCACCCCCCCCGACCCATCCCGTCTCTCGCTTCGCGTCTCCGTCTGCCCCCCTCATCCATCTGTCACTCGGCAACCAGACACCGCCTGGCAGCCTCCCCCGAGACGGCAGATACACACCCGGCCAGTGTGTGTGTATTAGTGTGTGTGTGTATATTAGTGTGTGTGTGTATTAGTGTATGTATATTAGTGAGTGTGTATGTGTGTATCAGTGTGTGTGTATTAGTGTGTGTGTGTATCAGTGTGTGTGTGTATTAGTGAGTGTGTATGTGTGTATCAGTGTGTGTATTAGTGTGTGTGTATTAGTGTGTGTGTGTATTAGTGTGTGTTTGTGTATTAGTGTGTGTGTATTAGTGAGTGTGTGTGTATTAGTGTGTGTGTGTATTAGTGTGTGTTTGTGTATTAGTGTGTGTGTGTGTATCAGTGTGTGTGTGTATTAGTGTGTGTGTATTAGTGAGTGTGTGTGTATTAGTGTGTGTGTGTATTAGTGTGTGTATGTATTAGTGTGTGTGTGTGTATTAGTGAGTGTGTGGGGGGGGCGGTTGTGTAGCGGTCAGCGCGCTGCGCTACGAACCCGGCGACCCGAGTTCGATTCCCGCTCACGGCCACAAAGCAGTGACGATTATTTGAACCGGTCATGGGCCTTCCCTAGGCCGACTCAGCCTCAAATAAGTACCTGGTGCGATGTGTAAACATCGTCACTGTGTGCCGTGCCCGTCTTCATAGATGCGCGCCAACAGCACTTGCCCCAACAATTCGTTTAAGGCTATACGTTGGATCTTTGTCTTAGTGGGTGCGTGCGTGTGCGTGCGTGTGCGTGCGTGTGAGTGAGTGTATCCCTCTGTGTGTGCGTCTGTGGCAAAGCCAAATATTCACCCATCATGGATGACGTCAGCAGCAAGTGAACTCTCAGACGGCCGTGGACCTCCAATAAGCGCACTCGGCCTTAAATGACCAATGTCAAAATGTTGCAGGCGTGTGAACAGCCACACCGAGGGAGACAAAGACGGATGGGCGTGGCAATGGGCCAATGCCCAGGGCCAACCAATTCGTGCGTCGTAAGTGCTCGCTTAGCAGCACCTGCCCCAGTAGCCTGGTAAAAGGGTCACGGGGCGCCTTTGTGGCGAAGACAAAGATTATGCTCGGCCGTGGATAAAATCAGTGCATCTCTATCTGTCGCGCGAGGGGCCTCCCGTAGGTCAAGCCAACTCAGCCTGTAATGCGTATCCCTTGCTGCTGGGTGCACATCATCGCTCGAGATACAAAAAGCGGTCAGGCGTGGTTGCTGCTCCCGCCGCCCAATCATAAGCGGCGCTGGCTAACAACGTTGTGTGCCCAAAGCGACCGGGTACATCGGGAGTCTTTGTCTTGCAGTGTGTGTTGTGTGTTGCGGCTTGTAAGGGCTGTGACCGTGTATGCCGGGTGCAATTCTTGGCCGTGTTTTTCGTGGCAATTAGTGTACGAACTTATCCTGCGCCTTCCTTGAGATCGAGTCGAGGACCTGCTGCGAGATGGTTACTACCTCGCCTGCTATACAGGAGGTCGTGGGTTCGATCCCGACCCTGACGCCTGCTGTATATTTGGAATTTACGGGTCTCTCTCCCCGTGGTCGCGTGGATGTTTCTCCAGGCCTTCCGGGTTTCCCCTCCACATTTAGAATCAGCACGCGTTTAGAGTATTCGTCTGCTTTACATTTCCACGCGATAAGCCACTTCGTTGAGCTATCATTTGTGGCCAGGTCGCTTCTAAAAACGAGAACTACATAGCTCCTTACCTGGTAAAATAAAATATGTATTTTAAATTGTTTTTAGATATGGTCAACATCAGCATTGGCTACTGACCCCACTGCCTGCGTGCGCACCGCATCGGCTTTAATAGGCGCCCGCAGCCCAACAACATTCATCCCAACAATTGGTTCAAGACAAACGGCGATGTATTGTTTGGTGTTATCTTCGTAGCGGGTGGTGGGGGCAATGTGAAAAGGGCGGTTAATCCACGCGCACCCACTACCCTCACAACCACCCACCGTATATTTCTACAGATTCCACGGTTCACGTCGCAGTCCTCTGGTGTTTTTTTTTCTCCCAGTCGTTGCTACAATCACGGAGGTAGACCTTGTCATCGACAAATTATTACTGTACACCGACGTACAGCTCTGTCCTCGTCGAATCGATGTCATAAATGAATTGCTTATGGAGCGCACTTGAGAGGGAGGTTTTATACAATCGATAAAAGGGATATACGGAGTCGTTGTTTGAGCCGATATATCTTATTCACGCCACAGAGAATGTCACCCTCGCGTTTTTCATTCGACGAAAACTTAATTACGTTATTGTAATATGTTTTTCTCCCCAAAATCAAATTATACAGCTGACACAGCAGGGATATGATTGCTTTAAAGCACACAAAGCATTAGAAATTGCCGATATAAACTCCTGATCCAATTGGTAAAGTGGTCGGTATTTTGACGTTTAAATAAGCAGGAGTTAAGCCAGAGGGAATCACCGAAGGTCGCGTTCACAATGCGCTTGTCTTAATAGTCCGTGTGAGCATGGGTGAGCGCTGTCCGTGGTGCTGAGACGAATGCAGCGCAATGGGCGCTGCCCCATCATTCTTCAGCGCATGGAGCACAATTGGCGCTGTTCATGATTCCGAGACACATACAAAGCAATGGGCGTTCTCCACGCTGGCGAAACACGTGTAGTGCGTTGGACACTGTCCGTGGTGCTATCCACGGTGCTGAAACACGTGCAGTGCAATCGGCGCCATTCCATGGTGCTCTCCGTGGTGCAGAAGTTCGTGCAGTGCAATGGGCGCCATCTGTGGTGCTATCCGTGGGGCTGATCCTCTGGCTCTGCCCATGGTGCTGAAGCACGTGTAGTGCGATCGGCGCCATCCATGCTGTAGTCGACACAGTGCAACGTGCTTTGCCCACTGCGCTGATTACTTTGCATGGCAGCCCACGGCGTTACGCTATATAAAGTGTTTTTATATATGGCCGTGTAACATCTGTACCGCGAGTGATGCGCATCGATGATGTCAAATCATGAATCTATTTCCATATCGAGGCACCAAAAACCGGCCTCGGCAAGGGTTATTCTCCAATTGAAGTTACAATTAATGCAAAATAAAACTTAATTTACGGTTCGGCACCTCTTGTAAAACTATAATTGCATATCAGCATTACTCCACAGAGCGTTGAATATCAGTATTGGGAGTACTGTATAGTTGTCCATACTATGGTGCTTAGGAAGACATTACCTATACACGCGGGTACGTACCTTTAATATTCTTTGGAGTAGTCGCGCGTGAGTGTTGCGCTCTGTCCAATTTTGAGCTGCAAAATCGTTGTAGCGTCAGGAGGAGGTCTGCAGCGCTTCTGTTGTCGTCGGTTTTACAACAGGAGAGAAAGAAACCGAGAGGAGGGGGAGGGAGGGTGGGGGAGAGATGTAGTGAAGGAGGCGGAGCACTCTGTGGCGTTGCGTGACCTCACCTTGGGAGACGGGGCGGACGCAGGCAGTCAGAGTGGATGAGTGGCTCTGCCGGGCGGATTCCGCGCAGCGAGACGCGGTTTCTCACAGCTCACGAGCGTGTGGGAGTACTGTAGTTGTGTCTGACGGCGTGCGGGGAAGAAGGTTGCTGTGTATGTGTGTGTGTGAGAGGGAGAGAGAGACAAAGATGGGTAGACGAGGGATATGTGGGCGATGGGATAGCTGGCTTCTGGCTCGATGAAGATGGTCGGGATTTCAGGCTCTTAACTTGAAAATATTTTGCACGGAAGGCAAAAAGGCGATGTGCCGGCTAAACCGTGCACGGGTTGTACGCGTGCGGCAGGAGACCATCGGTGCTAGTTTGTGAGCGCGCGTTTGATGTTCGGTGCGCATGTGTGTGTCAGTGTCCTATGTAGGGCGCGCGTAGACCTATTTAAAGCTCATGCGTTCAAGCGCTGCTTCATACGAGTCTCGCGAGATTCGGTGGCAGCTCATTTAAGCTCACGCGAAATTCCATTTTATCTCGAGACGACGGGAAAACGTGCGGGCAATGAAAGGGGGGACACGCGCAGTTTTGGGGCTCCTTAGCTGTGGACTAATCCCCGATGTATTTTGCCACTCGGTACTCTCCCCTGTATCAATGCGGTGTCTTCTCGCCGTCGTGTTCGCTGTAATGGGATTTGTCAGGACTGAGACGTTTCGCTCCGATGAGAATTGGGGCGCGTGACCTCTTGAACTGGGCGTGCCCCATAGCCCTAAACATGTCTTTTTTTTTCTTTCTCCAAACTACTTTGTTTTCTCTATCGTGCATTTCACGTCTTCGTTTTGTTACGCAATTGCGGTAGATTGGGTAAAGAGGCTATAGAGTTGCGGGTCTCGGTCCGTCATTAGCACAGCTTAGCGTTTGCCAGGGCACTTGGCGACATTTAAACTCACGTTGCGCCTGTAATAGAGCGATATTGGGATCAATTCTCCACTCTGCAACGAACGCTTTTCTGCCCGGAGGGGATGTGATTAAAGAACAACGGTTTCCCGCGAGATCGAACGCATTTGGCAGATTAAACTACAGCCCAGCGAGTCTGAGAGGCCTCTCGCGCAGACCCGAAATTAAAACTGCAAAATTAAAACAGCAAAAATTACTGACGACCGTAGGCTCTCTATCTCTATCTCGGCAAATAAGAAAATCCCTATTAAAAAAAAACTCAGCACACATTCATCGATAAGACTGCCCCAAAGCGGAAAACAATCATATAATGGGCGACGTTTCGGGCAATGGCTATGCAGAGCCATTGCTCGACACGCGGCCCATCATTATATGACGTCTTGGGACATGGCTCTTACTCATTGCCCATCCCATTGATATCTCTGCTATGCATAAAGGTCATTGACCAGAAACATGTCCTATTACGTATGTCCTCTTTTGGCCGGATTTATAAACGAATGTGTTCATTTTTGTTGTTTGCCTTATGTGCCAGCGCACCACTGTCAGTGCGGTATCACAAAAAATACATTGCATATTAATTGAGCGCGTACACAACGCAAATAAATAATCAAGGCCCGTTTTATTATTATTATACGCTCAGAACCTTTCCGCTTTTCACGGGGATTCGATTTCTCCCCACGTGCTGACCGGGTCAGATAATCGACGGGACTCACTCCCGTGCGAATGAGGGAGCCCTTTATCCTCACGTGAAGCTGTTAGGCTGCTGCTGACTGCCATGTTAAGTTAACAGTGTAACAACAAAAAGACACCCCCGTGATCCTCGCTAGTCGTCGTAGCAGTCGTGGTAATGCGAACGCAGATGCACTTTCCCCCGTGCTGCTGTGCTGAGCATTGCCAGATGGAATTAGGTCACCTAGGGGAGTCGTGAAGCCCCCTTGCGATAATCACCGCGGCAGAGAATTTCCTGGAATTCGTGAGTTCAGCCCAACGACGCCACACCGCCCCCTAATGGGCTCGCTCGGAACTTTTGAGCTGAAAATTTGTATTTGTCACTTTTATATTTGTGCGCGCGCGCGGTTTTGTTTGACCGTTGACAATGTGACCTTTAATCTCAACTGGCTAGAGTGGTTCAGTTTTGCTGATACGTTAATATTGTGTCCGTTATTGTCGGGAACGACGGTTTCCTGATTCGTTCCTGATTGTTGTCCATTGCTCTTCCTTCCTCGGCACCTGACTAGTTAAGTAGTTTATGGTAATTACACTCAGGGTGGCCTCGTTACGATACGTACACGAGGCTTGATTAAACAATCTAAGTGTTTCTTAACAAACTTCGGAAGCGACAACAGTCGCTGTACCTTTCAGTAACCAATCCACTGCTGGATGATTGCTTCCCCATACCATTCCAGTAGCGGGGGTCGATTGACCATACATCATAACCACGCTAGCTAGCTATCGATCCATCTATTAGGGGGTAAGGGTAACGCAGTGGTTAGCGCGCTGCTCTGTACGAACTTAGTTTTCACTGAGTTTGATCCCAGGCCATGGCTAGCATCGGTGGCAAGTGATATATTATCACGTCGCCTAAATGTGACGATATAAAGTCAGAGAATATTCTGACAATCGCGTATGATTGAACCCAAATGAGTAACACAATTTCATAAAATATCAATCGGCCTGTGTGTCTCGAGAGACAATTATTTTGCTGCTTACGAGGTTAGCTGTGGGTTTTGCAGCATCTAAAATGACTTAGTAGGCCAATTCTTGAGTGGAAATCCTTGCCACGGCAATTGCAAGCGAATGCTCCACAATTGAGGACGATCGGTGAGCTGTTTACTTTGACTCTTACACTTCAATGTACAGGCAGTTCTCTACTTACGACGGAGATGCGTTACGACGACCCCCATCATCGTAAGTCAAACATATCGTAAGTCGAAGATGGCCTAGCCTACCCAGGAGTCTTAAAGAATGGTGATAATTTAGCAAAACAGAGCAATTTACAGTACCGTACTGTATAAACCATTTACCGTGTGTATTTATTAATTACAATACTGAATTGCACAGTAAAATGTAAGGTAAAAAATAAACAAGGTAAATTATTTGCCTACCTATATGAACTGCAATTTAAGAGAAAGTGTTTTCAGGGAACATGTTTTCCATACCTTCATACAGAGCTCACAGCAACCCAATGGCTCCCTCTCCTCTCCAGGTGTAACTCCACCCCAACTGCCCTTCAACCAACTCACTTCGTTGCCTTAACCGACAGTCTCGTGGCGGACCGCCGATTTAACTCCACACATCAGAGGCGCGAGCCGTATCGAGCTGGGGGGGGGGGGGGGTCCACGTCCAACTTTCAGCACCACGAGTCCCCGGAGAGCTTCATCTCCGCAGTTGCGGTGCCACATCCCTTCACCGTACAGCCTCTCAACTCCATTATACACGAGGCAATAGCTTCGTAAGGTTCGTGTTTCATACTCTTAAGTTTTTCGGTAAAGTCACGTAGGTAAAACATTTATAATAATAGAAATAAAATAATAAATCACAAGTGCTATCGATTGCAAACTTGATAGTTTGCAGTCGATAGCACATGTTGTTTATTTCTATTATTACTTCTATTATTTTTTATTTTTTACCTACGTGACTTTACCGAAAAACCTAAGAGTATGAATCCTTGCAGTCACGAAAGCTTCAAATCTATAATCGTGTTGTTTCATGTTGCGGTGAAGAGTGGGGAAACACCCCCCCCCCCCCCCACACACACACACGATTCGATCTAAATAAAAGGCATTGTTTCCTTTCTATGGCACTGCCTCGTCAGCTCACACGGAGTGGCCATGCTCTCTCTAACTCCGCGAATTAATTCCTCGAATACACAATCTTGATACGTCTAGGGAGAGAGGGGGGGGGGCGAAACGCAATACCGTAGGATTATCCGACGTGTATAATCGCTGTCAGCAATTTTTTTTGTTCAGGAGAATGTAACCACTGTATTGACACCATTACGATCCCGAGTATGAATTTGGCTTTCATCTGCCAGCCTTTAAATCGGTTGGGGGGGGGGGGAATGATGATGATTTTTTTTTATTTTTGTTTAATGTTATTTTGTTTTATTTTATTTCTAACCACGTGACTTTACCGAAAGAACCAAAGAGTATGGATTCCTGCAGTCACGAAAGCTTCAAATCAAGATGATAATTTGTTTCCGATAGAACCGCCCTCCTCGGCACAAAATGACTCGACACCTGCCTTGAAAACCCGCATTAGTCTGCCAGTATGGGGTGATGATTGCTGCTATGTAGAATGATAATAATAATCCCAATTGAGTAATACGAGGCTAAATTTCAAAGCTCTCTGGTGCCCGCACGCAAATATCCCGCTCTTGCGAAGAATGGTCGCCACTATTCTTAGGTTTTTTCGGTAAAGTGACGTAGGTAAAAACATTAAAAAGTAAAATAATTGATACAGCTGTCGTGGCTGTGACGGTACCACCTGAAGACGGAAGCTTGTGTTGCCTCCGAAACGTCGTGATTTTTATTTTATTTTACTTATTTTATTTTACTTTTTAATGTTTTTACCTACGTGACTTTACCGAAAAAACCTAAGAATATGAATCATTGCAGTCACGAAAGCTTCAAATCTAGAATTAATGATCGCCACTTTGAAGCAGAAAACGGTTCATAAAACCCGCAGTATTAATCAGGGCGGGCGATATGTTTAGAACCGTGAACCTCTGCAACGAGGGGCGAACCCGATTCCGCCCCGGTGCAGTGTTAGCGAGTTATATATACACTGAACTTTTTTCGCACCGTGCTAATCGGAGGTGCTGGGAAGCACAAGAAAACTTAACAACAAGCCCGGTCAATGCACAGTAACGGAGACATGCAACGGTGGGCCAAGACGTTTGGACCGAGTGAGCTGTTCTGCCGGCAGTGGCGTGAGCAAGCACTTGCAGGGCTGCGCTTTCACCTCTTTTATACCCCACGCACAAACCAGGCTCCCGTAAAATTTCATCATTTGAGATGGAACGGCACATCATTCAAAAGGGTGTCAGATGACATATACAACACGGTCAGTTTACGTTTATACGACGTTAATACCGTACATGCTAAAGGTCTATTATCAAGAGCAGAAACGTCAAGTCAGTATTACGTCACACCCCCATCCGTGAACATGAAGCACGTCGGCTGATGGGCGTGTGACGTCACGGACGTGGCACCGTTACGTTCACTTCCAGATGACGTCACAAGGTTCATCATCGAACGTGATGTCACGGTAGCCGATACAGGCGTGACGTTGCATATGGCGTTACTCCTACCGTGAGGCAGGAGCGTTGACACAAACGCTATGTTATATCTTCTTGGTTCTTTCGGTAAAGTCACGTAGAAGGGAAGTAATAAAATAATAAAAATAAAACATAAAACATGTTTTATATTTTATTTTTATTATTTTATTACTTCCCTTCTACGTGACTTTACCGAAAGAACCAAGAAGATGAATCCCTGCAGTCACGAAAGCTTTAAATCGCTATGTTATATGTTTGAAGTCTTACATCATCGTCGTTAATGTAGATCCACGGCTTTATGTGAAAACATCTGGTAACATGACGTCACAATAATTCCACTTCCCCCTCTATTGTTTAAGCTGTGGGTGGTGTGACGTCACCAGAGTTATTGCGCCGGTGACGAACATGACATCAATTCTAGATTTGAAGCTTTCGTGACTGCAATGATTCATATTCTTAGGTTTTTTCGGTAAAGTCACGTAGGTAAAACATCAAAATTAATAAAAATAAAATAATATAAAATAAAATATTATTAATTTTGATGTTTTACCTACGTGACTTTACCGAAAAAACCTAAGAATATGAATATGAACATGACATCATACCTGTCAACCTCTTATCAGTGCCCTATCTTAATCCAGATCAATTCAGACCGTATTGAGTCACCCCGTGCCCTGATAAATCTCAACGTTCATCCTACAATGACGCAAGGTAATACGAGCTCCAAGCGGTCACCCTTGGCTGTAGATGTCCCATGACAACAGTGCTATTGTCAACACTGTTACGCACAATACTATAAAGTCACTGCAAAACTGCTTCATTGCTATAAAGACTTCAATGAACATCCTTTATTTTATCATGTAGGGAGCACAGCGAGATTCATTGTCATAATGGAGACCTGGGAAGCTTTCGAAAGAAAACCATATTTTATCTTCATTTCACTTTCAAATGAGCTCAGCATCCGACTTTGTTCTCACCAGATTATAGAGTAATGCAAATACACAATCATTTTATATGGCACCACACCCAAACAAGCAGTGATGAACATCTGTGAACACAACATGTTATAAAGTCAAATATGCATAAAATTATGCAATTTTCTCCATGTTTTCATATTATTTGCATGACAGTAAAAGCTCAATGTAACATTTTTTTATGGGAAATAGTGATATTTTAAATTAAAGATGTGGGACAGTGTTAGTCAGGAAACAATGGGTGTAATAAAGTCAATAAGGGACGTTAGATATGGGGAAATGCACAGAGGGGGAACAATGACATCAGTGTATAGTAGTGTATAGTGTAGTGTATAATAGTGTATAGCGTAGTGTATAGTGTAGTGTATAATGTAGTGTATAGTAGTGTATAGTAGTGTATAGTGTAGTGTATAGTGTAGTGTATAGTAGTGTATAGTGTAGTGTATAGTGTAGTGTATAGTGTAGTGTATAGTAGTGTATAGTGTAGTGTATAGTGTAGTGTATAGTTTAGTGTATAGTAGTGTATAGTGTAGTGTATAGTGTAGTATACTACTTCAGCCCACCGGTGTGTTGTAGGAGAGTAAATCCACGACATTTACAATTTGAATAATTGGCTGTGCCGGGTGGTGGCTGGTCTAACGACACATTTATATTTACGCAATCTAACACCCCCCCCCCCCCCCAGTGTTAAAATGACGTGAAGGGGGGGGGGGGCGTTAATCTTGATTTGAAGCTTTAGTGACTGCAATAATCAATACTCTTTAATTATTTCGGTAAAGTCACTTAGGTCGAAAAAATAATCGATCACGACGTTTCGATCGCCACACAAGCAATCGGAGGACGATTGCAATCGGGGGGTGGTTTGTTCACCACAACCCTCCCTGCAGTCACGAAAGCTTTAAATCGAAATTTAAATCGAAATTTAACGGATTGTGTGACGTCACGCCGGCAACAGATAACATGACGTCACGCCGGCAACAGATAACATGACGTCATCGCACCGCACCACCCTCCCTCAACCATTCTCCCCCCCCCCCCACGTCGCCGCCCCGCCCGCTCCTCCCATCCAAGATGTCGGCGCCAGGCGAGGCGTTGCCCCGGGCTGGGCCGGCGTCTCTGTGCGACATGAACGGAGGCGGTCGAGACGAGGATGAGGAGGAGGAGGAGGGTGGACACAACCTGTGGTGAGGCGAGGAAGAGCGGTGGTTGTTGTTGTTGATGATGATGATGTTGATGGTGGTGTGAGAAAATGGTTGTGTGTGCTACTGTGCAGTGGTGGGTGGGTGGGTGAGGTTGTTGTTGTTAGTGGGGAGGGTGGTGGTGGTCGTGGTGATGCTGGCCTGCGTCTGTGCAGTCTACCTCAGCAAGCAGCCTGACAAAAATGGTAATGGTGAAGGTGATGAGGGTGATGATGATGATGGTGCTGGTCTTTCTATGGTGTTCACTTAAACAGCATCATACCCTACATGACTGTCATGGGTAATTATTTGGTGGTGTGAGGGTGAATGCGGTGATGATAATGATGATGGGATGTGTTGATGGTGAGGGCCTGTGGCTGACTTGGGCTGGGTGGTATGGCTCTCGTTTGCCCGCAGGCTCTCCATCCTCAGCGAGGTATCCAGCCGCTCCCGATCCAAGCTGCCCACGGGAAGGAACGTGGTGGTGCTGGGTGAGGAATATTTCCCTCGTGATTTTATCTTCGTACGTACGATGTTCTCCGTGATTACAATTGCTATGAAATGGCCAGGTAACGGAACATTTGGTTACACGCACAAACCGTGCGAACAGCGATCTCGGACTGCGCGCATGTGCTGCAGCGGTGGGCGTTTTGACGATTAATGTTTCATGTCACATTTACATTATTATTATTGAATGACTTAAGTTATACAGTGAACGATGAAACTCTTAACTCATCGTTAAGCAGCTTTAGCTTGAGGGATTGTTGCGCCTCACGATAACAAATCGATTGTTTAATATCAGAATTATCGAGGATTTTTTTTATTAAGCGTTAAAGGAACAATTTTTGCGTTCGATGGCATCAGCGATTTTTTTGTTACGAAATTTTCACTGAGCATCATGGTGTAGCGTGATGCCATTGACACTTTACGACTAATGTTATGCTCCTTTAATGCTGCATATTATATTCGACAAAAGTTTTGCTGGCTGGCTGGCTGACTGGCGCGCAGATGATGTAACCAGGCACATTTGCGTGATGAAGTCATCCAGCCCGATGCAACAACACCGGCCGTTTACCACCCGCAAATGCTGGACGGTTCTGGTTGCACTTGTTAAAAGAGAAGTAATATAAAACTCTCCATCATCCCACACAACCAACCATTACATCATTCAGTGTTAGATATGTATACGTACTTCGTTTGTCAATCCACTGCTGGATTAAGGCTTCCACGTGCCGTGCAGGTCGTGAGGGAGTGCTTTGACTATACTTCACAATGGTAAGTGTGGGTTGGTGAAGGCGGTGATCATAGATGTGGGACCGGATATTACAAGAATAGTTTTACAGCACTGCTCTCAGCTGCTCAACATCAGACACTGCACCAAAAATCAGCATTAAAATTTGTATTAAATCATTCAACATGTAGTTAAACAAACATGCCGTTTATCAACAACATATAATAATTTACATATTAGACTACTTATTTATCTTAGTTTGTCCAGCAAAGGCTCAATGAGTCTGAAGACTCTTTCAGGGTGTTCCTGCATTTGAATGTTTGTTTAGTTCAGGAATTGGCAAATAGAATAACAAGAAGAGCCAATTTTTTTCATCGAATTCGGTAAAAAAAACACCCTCAATATTTTAAGAGCAGCAATGCGTGGTGAATACGAGAGACGGTGATCCTTGATTAATATCGAGTCACGAAGCAGTCCTTAAAGAGCCGCATGCGGCTCCTGGCCTGCAGGTTGCTGACCCCCTGGTCTAGTTGATTTAATGAGGACTGTGCAATTGATGGGATATTGCCATGATTACGTGTGGATAACATTCAAAGCTCCTCGCAGAATCCATAGCCATGCTGCCATCTCCTGGCAACCTCGCAGCTCCCCATAGACAAGAGCATGATGGTGCTTGGTGAGATTACTTTGTGATTCACCAACATTAGCGTTGCACTAATTAACCCATTTTGTAACATAATTCATACCACCAGAAAATAGTGTAAAAGACAAGCAATTAACATCACAACACAAATCATTAAACTTTCAAGTAACGAGCTGCCTGAAGGCAAGCGTGGTAGCATTAAGTTAGAGCATTAACGTATTCACATTGCAATTGTTAAGCCATTAAATAAACCATTAAACCAACTTTGTAGCATTACACTTAAATAGAATAGCATACCATCAAGCTGCAGACTGACTAAAGAGTGGTGTGTGGGTTAGAGCATTTCCTGCATCACCAACAGTACTCGAATATCAAACTTATTAAACAAACAATATAACAAATAAATTAAGCTCATAAATAACAGGAAACAAACCATTTAACCATGACAGAATAATATAATGCATAAAACAATGAATACTTTGCAATGAACCCAGTTACAAATAGCTTCATCAGGCGACAGTCCGATGGCTGGAAGCAAATCTGGCTGTCGCCTGATGAAGCTAGTTGTAATTACTGGCGAAACGTCGTACTCTGTAAATGTTGTGGCTTGGCTCTCCAACACACCAGTGATGCTGTACTAGTGACGAATTGGCCACGTTCTGTTTACGTGACAACACTTACTAGTTGGCTGTGTTGGGTGGTGGCGGGTTTTAACGATACATATATTCACGTGATCTAACCCAAAAAAAACTCTTATGGATGTTGAAAATTGTCTTAATTTTTGTTGTTTCCACTGGAGCACTGTCATGTTTTCATTTGCAATATTTACGTCGGGAGCCGATTGATTCACAGTCAGTCTCTTCCAAGGGAGGCCTGAGTTAAAGGCTGTGTGAATTATACTCGCAGTACGCAGATATCATGTGCCATGCAAGGCATGATGGGAGGGACCTTAGTTATGGTCAGAATCGTTTTGCGCATATCATTGCTCATTTGCTTCCAGCCATCTGACTCTTTTCTGTCCTTGTTTCTCACCATTTACAGAATGTGTTGTTAGACTTGGTACAGTGAAACCTCATGTCATTGTTCCCCCTCTGTGCATTTCCCCATATCTAACGTCCCTTATTTACTTTATTACACCCATTGTTTCCTGACTAACACTATCCCACATCTTTAATTTAAAATATCACTACTTCCCATAAAAAAATGTTACATTGAGCTTTTACTGTCATGCAAATAATATGAAAACAGGGAGAAAATTGCATAATTCTATGCATATTTGTCTTTATAACATGTTGTGTTCACGGATGTTCATCACTGCTTGTTTGGGTGTGGTGCCATATAAAATGATTATGTATTTGCATTACTCTATAATCTGGTGAGAACAAAGTCGGATGCTGAGCTCATTTGAAAGTGAAATGAAGATAAAATATAGTTTTCTTTCGATAGTTTTCCAGGTCTCCATTATGACAATGAATCTCGCTGTGCTCCCACATGATAAAATAAAGGATGTTCATTGAAGTCTTTATAGCAATGAAGCAGTTTTGCAGTGACTTGATAGTATTGTGCGTAACAGTGTTGACAATAGCACTGTTGTCATGGGTCATCTACAGCCAAGGGTGACCGCTTGGAGCTCGCATTACCTTGCGTCGTTGTAATTATAATTTAGTTTGATGGCTGTTTGTGGAATTCAGCAGTTTTCTGCGGTTGTTTGACAGACAGCCCCTCTCGACGCAGTGCCAATTATTGCACAAGCAGCTGTCGTATTTAACATAGGTTGACCCGTTTGCTGTCAGGTTCCTTGAAAGACAGTGTTTTATAAAAACGACTTGACCCCAGTGCGCCGTGTCAGGGCTACGAACGCAAGTGTGTGCTGTGTGCTGTGGACACACGTCAGCCAGCCCATTCGTTTCTGGAATATCAGGCGTGGCCCCTGGCCTGCGGGGAAAAAAAAACTGTTCCCGGCATGCAAAGTGATCAATCACTTAATATGCCGCACGGTCGCGCACAGTGGGAGAGTACGTTTATTATAAGCTGGTTTCGTTGCCTTCCCGAAGGTGCAGCTTTATAAACACTCACACACGTAGTATACCAGCCTGACCATATTACCTGGAATACGCCTGATCCCATCAGACCTCGAAAGCTAGGTCTAATTGAGGCTGAATAGTGCCTGGATAGTGCTTGTAGTCATAGGTGACTGTGGGGCTGTGCTAATGTGGTCGTCGGCGCTGCAGCAAAATCCGTTGTGCTCTACTTCTATGCTGCCCACCTCTACCGGCTCACTCTGACCAGCGCAGTGAAGCATATTCTAATAATCCCCAGAAATCCACTTCTAGATGAGGAGGAGGCCCTCATCCAGAAGTGGATTAACAATGTGCTGTATCTTGCAATGCACTGTACTGTATATATCTGCACTGCTCTAAGGTTGGTCAACGTAATTCAATGATAGCCTTGAGCTCAGACGGCCACAGATTTAGTAATCGCTCTTCTCGCATTGATCCTGATCGCATTCTTCGTCATGAGTGCGGCGCGCACTCCCTACTCTCTTAACCTGGTTTCCAGGCAAGGGCTTTTGTTATCACTGGGTGTCTTAATGTAAGACACGGGTTTCCATTATAATGTTTGTTACATGTTACAAAAGCAGAGGTGTGCCAAGTCATTACATTCATTAGACAGCTGGTGAGGGGCTTTCCTCAATTGCATTTGACATTTTTGCCAGGCAGGTTCTTTTCATAACCCCATCATCTGCTTATGTATTTGGCCAAGTTTGAATCTTAGAAGGCTGCCTGTGAATCTGATGAAAACAACGTAATGTGCGTGAACTAATGTAAAGGATACGTTATGCAATTATAGACGATTTATGTCCTGACAATACCAGATATTCTTTAATGTGGACAAAAATACAATAAAAACTGCTATAGTGGAAATAATTATCATGCTTTGGCTACAGTTTTGTTGAGATGTTATGAGCATGATTGTAATCGACCCATTGTGTTCATGGGAGGTCTCTGCTAATAGTCCTGTAATGTAAAAACAATTGTGACCTGCATGTAACCAAGTGGGTTAGGCCATAGCCAATTTAGGTTAGCCTGAAATGAACTTTTAGTGTATAGCTGCCATTCCCTCTGGCCATTTGCTATAAATCAGAAATAATTGTCATTGACCACAAAACGTTAAGCGTTGCCATATAATAGCAGATATCAACATTGATGTGCCTTGTGTGTGCTATGCTTACCTTCGAGGACGTAGCCGACATGATTATATGACTGGGCAAGTAATGATGCATCGATTGATTTATTAAATCGATTATTATGCTCGCGGTACGTGTAGTGAATCGTGCATTTCAGAGTCGATTATTTAGCGTGTGTGTAAATGTATGCTGAAGTAGCAAACACAACTGTGCAAACAAGAACAGGAAACATCGTGAGACGAATGAGCTAGAAAAAAATGTGACCTTGTCTACTGGAGCCACACCGCTCCCATTACAGTCTTCTGTAGTTTCTCCCCTGCTGCCATTCTGGTTCATTGTTCACTCTTGTCAACCTAACATTAGCACGTCATTTATATGTCTAATATGACCAGAATAATTGACAATCGAAGTATATATTTTTTCTGATTCTATTGTCCATGCCCCCCCCTCCCTTGTCTCGGTTGCCCCCATGTACCCTCGTCTTTTTGTCCCCGTGTTCTTGTACCTCTCCCGTGTCCCTCTGTCCCCGTGTCCCTCTCCCGTGTCCCTCTGTCCCCGTGTCCCTCTGTCCCTGTATCCATACCCCATGGCTGCCCCCTGTCCCCTTGTCCTCATGTCCCTGTAAGTCCGTGCGCCCATTTCCCCTTGTCTAACATCTCCGTGTTCTCGTGCCTCCACATCTCACTTGTTCCCCGTGTCCCTGCGATTGCACATCCACGAATCCCCCTGTCCTCCCTGCCCGTGTCTCCTGTGTCTGCAGGAGAGGATGGCTCTGGGAAGACGTCTCTGGTGGCCAAGCTGCAGGGCGTGGAGGAGGCTCGCAAGGGCCGTGGCCTCGAGTACCTTTACCTGAGCGTGCACGACGAGGACCGTGATGGTAGCGCATCCCCCACCACCGATCCACGCACCGCTACTTTGCCTGCTGATGAAAACTAAATAAAGAAAAAATATTTTTTTTTTCAGCAGGTAAGGCCTCACTGAGCTATTTCGCTCTTTTTCAAAAGAGACCTGGCTATCACAAATGATAGCTCAACGAAGTGGCTTATCACGTGGAAATCTATAACAGCGCCAACGAAATGTCAGGGTTTGGATCGAACCCACGACCTCCTGTATATCAGGCGAAGTAATTAACATCCCGCCGCCGTGGCACGAAAGACGGACGGAACCACGAGTCTAAAGGACTGGCGAATGGCTGGCCGGCACAAACACGGGCCAGGCTGTTCATTCTCTTGTCCCTGTGCGGGTGGAACGGTGGCACTGGTAAGCGCACTGCTCCACTAACCTGGTCATATGGGTTTGATTTTCATCCACGGCTAACATCAGTGGCGAGTCGTATTTGATCCGGTCCTGGGTGTCCGTCGCCGCTCTTCACAAACTCATACTTTATGGCCAGTCTGATGAAATATGGTCAAAACATCCCCCATGACTGAGATGGTGTTGGGATGCCTTCATCCAGCAGTGTACATTCTTATTGTTACGCCAGCAATAATCCAAAACATTTCACGATCGGCTCTTGCCCCAACAGTATGTAGGCTATAGAACTACACGCTTAAAACAGAAAGATCCCCTGAATTTGCTTTCAAGACAAGGTGTTTGGCTATTGGTGTTGGCAAGCACCGGCTAAGATCTGCACACAAAGAATTGGTTGGGCCAGCACCACAACCGCCCCAGGTTTGATTACACAGCCACGCCGTTTACTCGCGCAGGGCCCAAACGAGCGGCTCTTCCTCATGGCCGTTGTCATGGCCTCCCTGTAGACCACGCGCGCTGCAACGTGTGGGTGTTGGACGGCGACGAGTACCACAGCGGCCTGCTGCGTTTCGCGATGACGCGGGAGAGCGCGCGCGACTCGCTCACGCTGCTCGTGGCCGACCTGGCGCGGCCGTGGCTCATCGTGGACGCGCTGCACAAGTGGAGCGGCGTGCTGAGGCGGCACCTCGACAGCCTCAAGATCCCGGTGGATGAGCGCAGGGACATGGACAATAAGCGTGAGTGACCCGCGCATGTGCCTGCGTGCGAGTTCAGCGTCTGCATGTGTGTCTTTGTGTAGCCTTAAATGAGTACCTGGTGCGATGTGTAAACATCGGTGTGGTGCTGGCCACCCACCGCCTCGTGTGCAGTGCCGGCCTTCACAGATGCTCTCTAACAGCACTTGCTCCAAAAGTCTGTTGAGGCTATACAGGAGATCTGTGTCTTTGTCATTGTCGGGGAAGCTATGGCGTAGTGGTTAACATGCCGCGCTACGAACCTGGTGACCTGAGTTTGAATCCTGGCCATGCCTAACTTCAGTGATGTATATCTCAATGAGTCCTGAACCTCTCCTAGGTCGACTAAGCTTTGATGAATAGTCACGATTATGGAGTAACAACCTAATCGAAGAATCGATGCATTTTTGTTGAGCACTGTTTTGTTTGTATTGTCCGCCTTTTACGTTGTCTTGTACACTATTGAGTATGCAAATTCAAAACTTACCATTATTACTATTTATTCTTATTATACATGCTATGATGATGTAAAATGTGGTATATAATCATTTGAAAGACTCGTGATTTGATGCTTGCATCTTGAGTGTAAAGAACGATTCATTTATCGTAGCTTAATAAATCGTTTAATTGTTCTGTGCCCATGCCTGCTGTGATGTGTTGGGCAATCTGATGTGTGGGGGTGCTGTGCGGTTGGCAGCATTATCTCCCCACAGTGTTTGCGTCTGCAGTCTAAAGGTGGTGGACTTTTGCCAAAATTGGACAAAGGGCTTTTTTTGCAAAAATGGGAGTAAGATGCCAAGGCAGTCATGAGCCATCACGAGTGATTAAATACCCTTGGTGTATTCTTTACAGATTTGGGCTGCAAATTCAAAGCCGTTGGCCGCATTATCACATGGGCGCTCGGAGCTAAATTTGCAATTGACATTGAGAATACGAAGCACTGGGCATATGGTTTTGTCAACCGGGAGCTGCTCATGGAAATTAGGAAAATGTATTGCTATTTTTTAATAAATTCAATCTACACATCTTAAAATATCGGCATTCGCCATAATAAATTTCTTGGTGCCCTGAGCACGAACGAGTGTGAGTTGCTTTTCTTCATGCATCGGCAATTCTAGTTTTAAGTCTTCTGTTTTCTTCCCAAATTCATTGCTGGCATGTCGTCCCTTTAGGGTGCTGTCGTTTGGCAGCTTTTCATTTCCGCCAAATTATTAAAATGCGTAGAGGGTTGTGCCCACGATGGTACTTGCTTTTCTAGTTTGAAAGCCAAAGTAATTATATCAGCGAGGTTTTTTTTTTGCATTAAACTATTAGTTCAGGTATGTATGTTGAACTTCTTTCGCACCTTACTTAGCCAACCGTGCTAATCGGACGTTTATAACTATGCATGCAGTGCTGCATTAGTTGATGAAAAAAACATTCTTATACTCGTGCTACACACATGGAATCAGGCACGTGAGAATTGAATGTTATCTTTTTGAAAATTACCCACAAGTCTTATATTCTTGTCATGTGAGGGAACAAATCTACCAGCGAGTGCGAGAAGGAGAATGCAAATAAGACGATAAACACGAGATAAAAAAAAGTATTGAATCTTGAATCAAATCACCCACCACTCCAAATCACGATAAGTAAATTCCATCGCTTTGGGCAGTGAATTGTTGGTTTCCAACTCTTGCCAACAGTACCATGTTGGATTTCGGAAGTGGTTAGCTTATTGTACAATGAATCCGGCCACTCAGAGTTTCAATTCACAGCCATGACTAACATCACCAACGAGTTTATATCTGAAATGGTTCTGCCATCTCCCCCCTCCCCCTCCTTCAACTTTCATTTCCTGGCATTGAAAAGTATGGTCAAGTAACCCTCTGACCATCACAGTCTGGTTAGACTTTGATCCAGAAGTTGATTGACGAAAGGCTATAAAAGAAGTTGGTGACATTGTAGCAGATTTTCACATCCGAGTTGCTCTATTTTAAGAATATGTGCTATGCAGGATGTGTACTGGTGTGTGTGTGCGTGCTTGTGGAGAGATGTTGGGGTTTGTCACGCTGATGTAAAGGTTGTTGTGATAAGCATTGTTGTCGCCTTGACTTGTCCTCGTCTTATTCAGGTGCTATTTGAGTCTCGTTTTGTATAGCGCACATTGTTACAGGAGTCCCATATGGAATCCCATATATGGTTACAAAGTGTGCCTCTGCAAACCGTATGTGGTATCCCATATATGGTTCCCAGAGGCAGGCTTAGAAGCAGTCAGAATTGGTGACTTAACCGTTCTAAAGGGTCCTACTTCTTCTTGGTTCTTTCGGTAATGTCACATAGAATGGAAATAATAAAATAATAAAAATAAAACATAATAAAATAATTCTCACGACGTTTCGGCCACAACGCAAGCAGCCGTCCTCAGGTGGAGAACAGGTCTGTCGAGAAGACAGAGTCTGAATGACACGCCCCAGGCTTGGAGCGACTATTTAAATAGTCGCTCCAAGCCTGAGGACGGCTGCTTGCGTTGTGGCCGAAACGTCGTGATAATTATTTTATTATGTTTTATTTTTATTATTTTATTATTTCCATTCTACGTGACTTTACCGAAAGAACCAAGAAGATGAATCCCTGCAGCCACGAAAGCTTTAAATCGAAATAAATGGTCCTAATTGTGACATATATAAAAAACGGTCACTGCATCACTGCTGCTGTTGTCTAGTCACGTTTAATCCAGTTTAGTTTGATGTTGATCTAAGACAAGAGGACCACTATACACCTCTTCGAGGGATGCCGACTGGTTTTGTTGTTGTTGCATACGCGCAAAGGGCTGTGCGGTTTTTACACACTTCTGCATCTTGTGTGAAAGGTATGCTTTCCCGGCCTGCCTTTCTTTTCTGGTTATGATAGGTGATTGTTAAATTACAGACTCGATATTCTATCACAGCCTCGACATTTTTCGTTTGGCACCCTTGTTACATGCGTACGTCACAAATATATATGCGACGTAGGTGGATATACGGCGTCCAGCACATAACGTGCAATTTGGGGGGGTAGGGTCCTCTGTATTTGTAAAAAGTGGGGGTATTTTTCAGAATCGTAGATAACAAAGCCGGTTGTTATCTGCATCTCTACGTGGAGGAGAAACGTCACGCTTCAGAGCAGTCCCAGCTTAGTACTGTACTGTGCAAGAACTGCTGGACTTTGTGCGTTCTAGAATCAATGTGTGATTTTCTGTGGGTTTCAGTGGAAATTTATTTTCTTTTTGTAGATTATAAAAACATAAAAAGTACGTGTTCGGCATGTCATAGTTCGTGAATTTAAATTGAGCCTTAAACTCATGGTGCATAAATTGAACCATATGTGTGTGTGTGAGAATCTGTTGTTTATATTGTATGCAAAATGCAGGAAAATATTAGTTCTTAACATTCCAAGTTGTCGGACGAAAGTTGGTTTCAATAGAAATTACGGGGTTTTGTTTGGATAACTAATATATTGGGGGTACTCCCAACCATGAATTAGCCCAGTTATTTCGAGGTGACACTGTTCTGCAGTCAACTACTGTCATCAGGTAAACATCATTGAGTCAGGGCATAGTACAACAGCAGCTCTGTGTTTAGGATCCCAAGTCCCCCAACGGGTGCGCATTCCTCGATGCCAAGTCCGCTAGCAAGGACAATGCGCTGGTGGGAATGTGTGCTTTCTATTCATACTCTTAGGTTTTTTCCGGTAAAGTCACGTGGGTAAAAAAAGAAAATAGAAATAAAATAATAATAAATCAATTAAATCACGACGTTTCGGAGGCAACGCAAGTCTATGTCTTCAGGTGGGACCATCACAGCTAAATTTACTGTATCAAGTGAGGAAAAATCCAAGAGACAAGCTCTTAAATACAAGTTAAGGGGGGGGGCTTATCTGAACGTGGTAGCCAGGGAATGGAACGTTGGGGGGGCGGGGCTAAAAGGGAACAATTGGTGCACCTCAGCCCGGGGTCACGGCCGATGTTGGCTGCTTTCTATTCCATGCATTTTTATTTGTTTAAAACGAAAACCGTTGGCTTAACAAAACCAAACTGGAGCTCCCGCCAAGAACGGGCTCCTTTCTCCGGCTCCTTTCAGAATGCACACTGCTGCTGCTGTGGGTCCATTTCTTGATTTTTTTTTCTCGTATTGTACTTTCTATCGGCATCATGCCACGAGATGAATGCATTTCTTTTCGAAACGGCCGTATCTTAGCAGTGCTCCACCTTCATGGCAGAGAAATGGTCTCGGAAGAAGAATACTTTTTTTTTTTTTATATCTTTATCTGGGAATGCATGTCTCGGTTGAAAGACGCGCAGACAGACAGACGCAGGCATACAGAGAGGGAGAAGTGGAATTATTACTTTAAGGAGATATCGGGAATGGAAACGGTCATGCCCTGATGGCCAAAATGACCGAGATAATATAAGTGTGAAGCCTCCCTGAGCCTCGAGAATATTTTTCAGGAGGGTTCCAGCACTGCGATGTTTTGGCCTGTAACCGTTATTGCTCTTTTTGCATATGGGAGGAAACCAGAGTGGAAAAAATTAACCCGTAAAAACAAAGTTTTTCACTATAAATCCTTTATATGCGTGGCGGCTAGAGTCCTCTCGTCCTCTGGCTTGAGATGGCTGCCACCTATGGGTCAGATGATTGCCTGCCACCATTAAGCAATTGGTAATTAAATATAATTTATTTTTTCCTAAAAAGTGTAACATTTTGGAAAAAGAATTTCACGAAAATAAATTGTCACGCACAACGAGTCTGTGTGAAAAATGTCAGCTCGATTGGATCACGGGAAGTGGGTTAAAAAACGACCGAAAGATTTGCACGGTCGTAAGCGCGCAAGCAAGCAAGCAAGTGAACTTAATATAAAGGATTTAAAAAGCCTGCTAAGGATATGAAGGGGGCTGACACAAATGTCTGCATGGATGGATTTAAGAATCCATTGACATGCAAGCCTACAACACCTTGTGTTCTCGTGTCACACTCGTGGCACACCTTTTATACGACCTGCAAAGAATGCTCATCACACGTTAATAAAACTGACATTTTTATCCACGGAACCAGCATTTTCTGAAATTGAGTGAAAAACTAAATTTCATTTCGTGCGCCGATATTGCTGCCTGCTTATTTACCTCCCTGCGTGCGCCAGTGCAAATGCATTTGGTCTCGCTCTCACACGGGTACACCTAATCTCAATGCCTAGGTCCAGGAGCTGCACAGTTAACAATCAAATATTGGCATAGTTTTTTATTATTAAAGTGTTATGGGTGCCGGAGGTGTAGTGCCCACTATTTACACAAAGCATCACCTGCCTGGTGTGCTGTGTTGTGTCATTAAAACTGTTGTTAGCGTAAGCCGCGAGTTCGTCACAAACTGAAAATGAGCAGGCCCTGCTGTTGTACTGTATGAAACAGCGTTTTGGTGGAAGCCGAGTGAAAAGTACGTGTTTGGCATGTCATAGTTCGTGAATTTAAATTGAGCCTTAAACTCATGGTGCATAAATTGAACCGGATGTGTGTGTGAGAATCCGTTGTTTACATTGTATGCAATATGCAGGAAAATGTTAGTTCATGGCTTGTGCAGCATTAACCAAAACTCTCCAATTGACATGGACTACATGAGTTTTTTTTATAAAACTAAATGGTATAAAATGGCATCGATTCTTGGGTCGAATCTTGACCTGAATCAGGACAATTAATTTAATATTCAAGGTTGGGGGGAGTGGCTGAATTGGTAACATTCCTATCACCTGTGAATGTACAGGTGCAGACGTTTAATTTACATGTGCATTTACCTGTGCATTCATGTGTGTTTTGTGGGGCAGAAATGATCACACTGCCCTACGAACCCAGCCACCTGAGTTCCATTCCTGACCATGGCTCACATCCTCGTATCAACAGCGAGTGATATCAAAGGCATTTTGTGCCTTTCCGAGACCAACTTGGCTTTAAGTGAGTACCTGTTTCGATGTGTAAATATCAGTAACTGGAAAAGCAAATGTGGCTTGGCGTGGTTACGCGTCTGCATTGTGGTGGGTTTAATAGGTGCTCGCTAACAACACTTGTCCCGGGAGCCTATGTAAGCTATGTCTGGGATATTTACGTTTGTTATTAGAGTGCTTGTGTGGATGTGAGTTATATTGTGTGTGAGTAGAGAGGACAGCTGGTGGATCTACAAGTTAGCTCAGACAGTCAAGCCATAACACCTGGGTCTGTCCCTTGACCTCCTTGCCAGTGAGCCATCGCCACTTGACCGGAAAGTCTCAGAGTGCATCTAGCCTGGTGGCATGCACTATGGTGCTGTCACCGGCACTTAGCGGCCAATGGCGGCCGTTGTTGTTGTGTGTGTTTGGTGGTAGTGTGCGCGCGTGCCTTTGCTCTGTATGATTTATCGGTGCAATGGCACAGCGCTTAGCCCTGTCGCACTGTGCGACAGTTTATCAGGCTTAAACTGGGGATCTTTGTTTGTGCGTGCGTTGGACCGTGTCTCGCGTGTGTGCGTGCGCACGCAACTCGCGCAGTCGTCCGAGAATTCCAGAGTTACGTCGAGCCGGAGACGGAGGAGAGCTCGCCGCTCCGGAAATCCGGTTCGGGGGCACTGCAGGCGTCAACACCGCCCAGCGCAGCAACGCTGCTGAGCCAAGGCTCCGGGACGAGCCCCGCGGGGCTGTCGGGCGACGAGGAGGCGGACGAGTGCGTGGTGCTGCCCCTCGGGGAGAACACCTTCACGCACAACCTCGGCGTGCCCGTGATCGTCGTCTGCACCAAGGTGAGGCCCTGCACGGCTGAGTAATTAAAACATGAAAGAAAAAAACAGCTGTTTTATATTTTTGGCAGGTAAAGCTACATAGCTCTTTTTTTCAGAAGCGATCTGGCCACAAATGATCGCTCAACGAAGTGGCTTATCGCCGTGTGGAGATGTATAGTAACGAAATTAACGCACGTTGATTCTAAATGTGGAGGCAAAAACCGGAGGACCTGGAGAAAAATCCACACGACCACGGGGAGAGAGACTTGCACGCTCCAAATATACAACAGGCAGCAGGGTCGGGATTGAACGCACGACCTCCTGCATACCAGGCAAGGGAGTTAACATCTGGTCACCGTGGCGCCCCTGGTTGCACGAAGGCTCGACATCAGCTTTTCGATGTCATGCGAATTGATGCAGACTTGCCTTTACTGTAAAATTTTAAATAAAAACTCTCGTTACGTTTCACTTATTTTATGTATTTGGATTTACTACTTGCCTTTCTTATGCGATTCGTTGCCCTCGGTCGCACTTTTATTTTGTGCGTGGTTGCAAATTAACTTTACTCGGTCGGTGTTAGCCACTGAGGGCTTGACGCGTTTTTTTTTATCCTGTTGGGTGTATCTAAAATAAAGATTGAGTGCTGCCTGGGTTGAAATGGTTCCCGTCCTGGATCTTGCAATGCAGAGGTCACCGGTTTGATTCCATTTCCCGGCGTGGCTTGGGCAAGTTTTTCCAGGGCAAAATCGCCCGATGATGCTGGATAATATTACCAGCGAAACGTCACGGTACTACTCAAATTGTAAATGTTGTATATTTACTCTCCAACACACCGGTGGGCTGAAGTAGTAACTAATTGGCACGTTTTGTTTACGTGATAAACCTTACTGGTTGGCTGTGTCAAGTGCTGACGGGTTAACGACACATTGAAACTTATGTGGTCTAACTCAATAAACCTTTATCATGAAGTTTATCCAATCCCTCCTGCATCTGTCCACTCGGCAGTGTTAATGGGTACAGCATAGGTAATCGTTTGGCAGGTCGTGTGTGGTGGGGTAAAGTGTGGGTATTCCTCACACCTCTTCCAAGACCTCTGGACAGCTGTATGCATGTATGTTGAACATCTTTCGCAACGTACGGAGCCAACAGTACGAATCGGAGGTGCGGGAAAGACTTAAGCCAAATACCCTGTAGAGGAGCTCTCTTAAAGTTCCTCTGTCGCTGGCCCTTCCGCCAGCAGTCGCGTGAGCAAGCAATTTCAGGGCTGCACCTTTACCTCTATATACACAATGTCTTTGTTGGGCACAGTACGGGCTTTTCCATGACAAAACGTGTATCATCTTATTCCACGAAGGGGTTAAAAAGTCATCTTATGTGAGCAACTAAACATTATCGCTTGTACAGCTCCAACCACTGGAACAATGTAGAATATCTTGAGGATTGCATCCCCAGGGTTGGATTGCAGCGATTCCAAAGGGGGTTCCGTCTCGTTGCTAAATGAATTGTCTTTGTGTGCTGTGGCAGAGCGACGCGGTGAGCACGTTAGAGAAGGAGTACGACTACAGGGAAGAGCACTTTGACTTCATCCAGTCGCACGTGCGACGCTTCTGCCTGCGGTGTATCCTTTCGGTCGAGGTTAGGAGGGCATCAGCCAGGAATCTACCACTCTTGATTGAAGGCCTCCTCGAGCTGTCGCCATTCTCTCAGTCTGGCATTGCAACAATCTGGAAGCTGTACAAGAGCCGATACCGTTGCTTCGTTGCTCCGTTGCACTTCCTCTCCTTTTCGCTGCCACTCGTTTGTTATTGTCGACCACCAGCCGTCACCTCTTCCCGTGACGCGTTCTGCCCTCCAGACATGGGGTCACTTATAATTGAAATTACTGCACCATTGCCAGCTGAAATTACAATTATAATGCCATTGAACATCATTACAATTGATGCAAGTACAATTGCAATTTATCGCAGCCCACTTTTCTTCAGCGGTCAATGTGATTTCTCGGGCTTGCCTATTTTCTCTAATCCATAAATTTATCTTTCTGTCTCCCGGTGTGATTCCAAACGATGCTTGTGGTATGGGGGACATGTGGTGTATGCAGCCATGTGTGTCGCTCCTTATACTTTTATTTGATCGTGTTTAGTCGATAATTGATAACCTTGTCGCTGGCTTTAAACATACATCTTGTGTACTCTTGCTCTTTATTTTCAGCGTGAAATGTCACCGATGTGAATTTGGCTACAGTGACCTTGCAATTGATGTCTTTTGTTATCTTACGCTTAGGCCATGTTCAGAATAAAAGGAATTTCAGGTGGGCGGCAGTGGCTCAACTTGGTTGAAGCACAATCTGTGTTGATGAAGAGAGCAGAGTGGGAGCTACGTACGTTTGATCCTTGACTCGTGAGCTTCATACCAGACGGAGCAGCGCTGGTCTACACATCGCTCAAGGAGGACAAGAACGTTGATCTGCTGCACAAGTACCTCCTGCACAGGCTGTACGGCGCGCCGTTCTGCACGCCTGCCCTCGTGCTGGAGAGGGACGCTGTGTTCATGTGAGCGACCGCGTAGGAGAGCAACTCGATTCGCATCATGCCCCACATTGGATAATTGGCGGCCAACCTCACCGACTTGCTAGTTTATCCAGGAAAGCCGCACTGAGTCGTATGACTCTTGTTCGTGAGGGTCTTGCACTGGGTTATTATTTTAAGATGTTTTCAACCAATTAAAAATTGTGAGGAAACCGGAGCGCCCAGAGAAATCCCACACGCGTAAGGGGGCAACACTGTATCCCCGTGCAGGTGGAAAGAGGTGACCATTAATCTACTTTGATGTGTACCGTCTTCTCCTGGCGAGCCAGCGTATAGCACCTCGACGCCCACTGGGAAGGGATTTTCACGACGTTTGTGCGATCCACCAAATCTCACCTCAACAGCCTCCACAGCGCTGGTACAAAGGCGTGCGCCACCATCAACCGCCAACAGCGGCGAGGCAATTACGAAGGCTTTTCTGCCGTGGTGTCCCAGGAATAAAGAAACAAATCTAAATCCGACCTTGGCTACCACCTCAACCCTCCTCCACCCATCAAAATCTTTTGTGTGCTCTTGCCTGAGGCTATGAGCATGTCTGCTTGCTTGTCCAATGCCATATATGTCAAAATTGCTTTGTCTGTCACGTGTTTTACTTTGTCGGTTTTTTTAAGAAGAAAATATTTGTTGTTGGCAATATTTCACCTGCCGTGCCGGTCGTCATAGGTGCTTGCTGACAGCGCTTGCCCCAACAGTCTGTTGAGTGGTAGTGTTGTGCTTAGTGCAATACACTGAACCCGGCAACCTGATGTCGATTTCCGCTCACAACCAACATTGTTGACTAATATCTAAACCGGTTATGGACCTCCCATATATCGACTCGGCCTTACATTAGTGAGTCCCTGATGTGGTGTGTAAACATCGGTACTTGGGAGACAAAGGCGGCCTGGCTACCCACCCCTCATGTCCCGTACCGGCCTTCATAGGCACTCGCTAATAGCACTTGCCCCAGCAGTCTCTTAAACACTATACAAGGGGACGTTGTGATTGTTGGCACAATTGGTGAACACAGGTGGTGCATCTGCTAGTCATCTCAGTCAACCCGTAACACCTTTGTCTGTCCCGTGAATTCCTGCCAGCAAGCCTTTCACGCTTCACATGGCCTCAGTGCATCTAGCCTGGTAGCATGCACTGTGGTGATATCAGCGCCACTTAGTAGTGAAGAGGGGCTATTGTAAGGACAGTGTCTCCTCTGCTGTCCTGGGAACATACCCGAATCTGACCCTGGATGCCACCTTAAACATCCTCCACCCATCCCAATCTTAGTCTGCTCTTGCCTGGAGGTTTGAGAGTTTCTGATTGCTTGTCTCATGCCATATCTGTCACATTTGCTTTGTTTGCCCTGTTTTATGTGCATTGTCGGTCTTTTTGTATCCGTGTTTGGCTCTTGGTTTACGGTGTCTTATGTTGCTCACACTGTGTGCGCGTGTTGTATGTGTAAATGTAGGCAGTGGCAGTGCATTGGTTCATGCGCTGCACTATGAATATGGCACCCTGGGTTTTATTAAAAGCCATGGCTAACATCAGTGCCGAGTGTTATCAGAACCTTTTTGGGCAGCCTCTAGATCAACTTGACCTTAAATACATCCCCGGTTCGGTGTGCAAACGACGGCACTGGAGAAAAAGAGAGGCTGCCTGGTGTGGTGCATTCCACTTCACACAACCCCATCGTGTACCCTACCAGCCATGGTCTATAAAACTAAACGGAGGATATTTGTGCAAAATTATTTAGGGAATGACACACGACGCATAGTGGTGCCATTTAGTTTTTGATTTGCTAAGTAGCGGGGCTTTGTTTTGTAATATCTGTGTAAGAGACTGGCTAATTGATGTGCAGCGTTGTTGGGATGCAATTGCATGAATGACGCTATATAAAATGTAATTATTATGGAGTCGTTAAATAGTTGTGGCGATTCGGCTGAATGTCACAGAACTCCCCCCCCCCCCCCCCCCCCCCCCCACGTGTCCATGCAGCCCAGCGGGCTGGGACAACGACAAGAAGATCGGCATCCTTCACGAAAACTTCACGTCCGTTCGGCCCGAGGACCTGTACGAGGACATTATCATCAAGCCGCCCGTCAGGAAGGCAAGGGCACGAGCAGTAGCTGTGGTGGAGCTATGGAGCATGCGGGCAGTGCAACTGCACCGGGACCCAAGGGGCCGGATGATTGGCCGAGGCGTCAGGCAACGTTGGGCTACGAAGAGAGGGGGAAATTGGACGGGAGACGCCATTTTATTTCTTGCACTCGGGCCCATGCTATTTAAAAACTATTTTGTACACGCTTTAAACTATTCAAAACGATTTAAACGAAACTTGATTTAAAGTATTCGTGACTGCAGGGATTCATATTCTTGGTTCTTTCGGTAAAAAATTATTTAAAATTTTCAAATTTTCTTTCTGTGGATTTAACACCTGATGATGATTGCTTGTGTTGCAGTCGAAACGTAGTGAGATTTTTTATTGTTTTATATTTGTTAATTTGAAAAAACAACTTTTCAAATTTTCTTGTTGTGAATTTCACACCTGATGATGATTGCTTGTGTCGCAGTCGAAACGTTGTGAGAATTTTAATTGTTTTATATTATTTTTTTATTTCCCTTCTACGTGACTTTACCGAAAGAACCAAGAATATAAAACGAAACTATTTAAATTAATACGCTTTTCTTCTTTTTTCCGGTAAGGCTCACTGAGCTATTTAGCTATTTTTTCAGAAGCGACCTGGCTATCAAAGATAATAGCTCAACGAAGTGGCTTATGTGGAAATAGAAAGCAGCAGCCACAAAACTACCAACTGTGATGCCCCACTGGCCTCGGGCATAATGCTTTGCACGCTGCATCTTGTGTATTCTGGGTGATTTGGTGACAGCCTGGATGCTACATAGACTTATAATTGCTCAACTCGTCTGCCCTGTGTGCATTGCATGCTTGCGTGCGTGCGTGCGCCACTGCAGTGGGTACAGGAGAAGGAGGTGTGTGCGGAGGATGAGCAGGTGTTCCTCATGAAGCAGCAGTCGCTACTCGTCAAGCAGTCGCCCTCTCCCTCCGGGAGGCCCGCAGTGCGTGAACCTCTACACCTCTCAATGGATTCTATCGCGCCGTGTAGTTGATGAGAAACTCTTCACAAGCAACGAATTACGTGAAGGCTGCAAACAAATATGGTCAACTTTTGATCATCTCTGATATGAAGCGAAAAACATCGATAATGCAAAATCTGTGTCAGCTAGGTTATAACAACCCGTGTAGTTTACATTCATAGAATGAGGGTGAAAACGTGCAATGTGTCTCCATTTTATTGTTTCTTAAAGTCATTGGTTTACTTGCCGACATGTTTGTGATCGTGTGCGTACCGAGTCATTGACCCTCGACAGTAAGGAGCAGCTAGGAATGAAATCAGCACTCGTGAAGTCATTTTTAGTTTTTTCACGAGCACGGTTTATCCGAAACTCAGATAATCGACCCACGGATAATTTGAGAGGCAACTGTAAAAGAAAAATAATATGCAAAATTTCATTTTTTTACGGCAAAAGATGCATTTGTGACCATGCCTTGCATTTTATTTGACGGCACAACACCATGTATAATGCACACTACCTTGTTTTTGGTCACGAAGAGTCAAACTTGGGGCCATATTTGGACAACGGCAGGACAATAAGATAATTCTACACCTGTTTCATAATTGTTAGGAATCATCAGTATAGTAGCCATTGCTGCCTTGTGCCTCATGGCACATGTGGACAAGGAAGCAGTTGTGGCTTTATGTGGACAAGCATGTCTGACGACTGGGGACGGTGATAATTTTTGTCGGTGACGCAATGGATGTGCGCTTTGGAAAGCGTTGCAGAATCCACGCAAGTGCAGGAGTTTGATTTCCTTGTCACTGCGTGCAGGACGCTGGGCAGAGGGTACCCGGTGGTTCTCCTCGAGCCTCCACTAGGCCCGTGGCTTCCAACGTGGCGAGCGTGTCGCCCATCTCTGTCGGAAACAAGAAGCTGGACCCCGCCAACGTTAAAGGTCCGGACTGACATCCCAACCACTCTGGTGGGGAAAGCAGTATGCGAGGTGGTAGCTGTGACACTCCAACTTTTGTCTGCTCCACAAGGAACTATAGCTCACCTGGAATACACCCAGGTGTATAGAATTCATACTTCATCACACTGGGTGGTGCTAGTTAATGAAGGTGGGAGGCAATAGATGTAGGAGCATAGAAGTATGGTACAAGCGTGGACTTTGCTGAACTGCCCTCTGCTGTCCCCACAACAATTCTGCACAGTAGTCGCCCATACAAGCGCCGTGCAGGAATTTTAGCAAGCTTGGCGAGAAAATTATTACTCGGCGGCGAGTCACCTGCCTTGTAGGCCTCACGCTTTGTGTTTTCTGTTTGCTCCCGCAGGAGGTGGGACAAGCGAGGGGGTGTTGGCGAACTTCTTCAACAGCCTGCTGACCAAGAAAGCCGGCTCGCCAGTTGGAGCTGGCGGGGGGAGCGGTGGACCGGGAAGTTCACCAGGGACCACAAAAAAGCACGGTATGGATGGATGCCTGCTCGTTCGGCACGTGCCTTCATTTATATGTGGCACCGCGGTGGCGAGATGTTAACTACCTCACCTGGTATGCAAGAGGTTCGTGGGTTCGATCCCGACCCTGATGCCTGTATGTTCGGGTTGCATGTCTCTCACCCCGTGGTCGTGGATTTTTCTCTGAGCCTGCTGGTTTTTCCCCCCACATTTAGAAACGTGCGTTTTAGAGTATTCAGTTGCTATACATTTCCACGTGACAATAAGCCACTTCGTTGAGGTATCATTTGTGGCCATTTCGCTTCTGGAAATGAACTCTCTCGCTCAGTGGGCCTTTCCTGGTCAAATAAAAATAGTTTAATAGTTTAGTTTATTCGGAAACGGCGCCCAACAACGGCTGCCAAGTGCATGCAGCATCCGTTGCATGCCCGATATAAACTAGAAAAGAGAGCCTTGGGAGAAAACAAAAACTCAGATTCTTGGTGTGAGCATTTTTCACATTTCACAGTATTTGTATGGTTTTTTTACTTCTGCTTCACATTGCTGTTGAGTAGGTTTGATTGTTGATAACTGTATGGCAGTGCAACAATGCATTGCTGTACTGTACTGGAATGTTCCCGCCTTTGCAAACCCACACGGACCAGCGTGGTGAAGTATGGCCAAATAAATCCCATGACCTGCATTCTGTGGGGGGAGGCAGTCATCCAGCAAATCTGCTCTGACCAAAAATGCCAATATCGAGGTCTGCTTGCCACGAGAGGGTTCAGGAGCAAGTTTTTTGTGCTGCTATAACTCCATTTAAGGAGCGCAGACTAAAGTTGTTCACTCTCTGGTCCATAGTTTGAGTTGCATGGCCGCAATCGCACTGCAACTTGTAGCCATCCAGAATCAGAATATTTATTTATACCGGAGGAATCCGATGAGCTTTGAAACTCTTTTTCATAGACGTCCAGTAGCGGCGGCACAGAACATTGCAACAACAATAAAAAAAAACATGATAGCAGTGGAAAGTATAGGAAAGGTAAGCAAATGATTATATTCTTGGTTCTTTCGGTAAAGTCACGTAGAAGGGAAATAATAAAGTAATAAAAATAAAACATAAGATACAATTCTCACTGATTTTTTACATTTCAAAATTCTCACTGAGAATTTATCTTATGTTTAATTTTTATTACTTTATTATTTCCCTTCTACGTGACTTTACCGAAGGAACCAAGAATATTAAACCAAGCAGTCACGAAAGTTTTAAATCCAAATAATTATAAATGAATAGAACAAAACTTTTATTTCACCAGGTAAAACCACTGAGAATGGCATGACATTTTTATGCGTGCACTGGAATGACACGTACATGTGAACGGCTGACATGGTTCTGCGTTGTGGTGGTCATCGTGGTGTATCTTCTTGTCGTTGAGCTTCGTTCTTGAATCGGTATTTCACCTTGAACGCTTTCGCTGTACATCCGCGTTGTTTGTGTGCTGTGTCTTGCACCGCACTGCCGTGTGCTGTACTGTCGGGCGTACACGTCCCCTTCTTCCTTTGGGTTTCGTGCTGTCACAATCTCCGCTTTCTCTGCCCACTTCCCCATCCACTCCACTCCCACCCCCCACCCACCACAAGGCAAAGGCTCGAAACGGGTTTGTAACGGAGCCCTTTGGCCTGCATGTCTGACAGCTTTCGCAAACACTTGTAGACGGATGTTTACAAGAAGCATTATGAAGCTTCATTTCTTACGTTTACTCTCGAATCTGTTGGGTTTTTTTTCCCCCCTCTTTAAAATACTCTTTTTTTTAGTTATCAGAAGATTGAGAATGAAGAAAGAGCTCAACGATTTGGCAGGTGGTGGGGTAAAGTTGTGGGTAATTCCCACCTCTTCCGAGACATCTGGCCAGTATGGAATAGAAGGTCTAAATGCCCTCTAGATCAGAGATCAGCAACCAAAACAACAACAAGAGACATTTTTTTTTCGAATTTGGTAAAAAAAAATCATTCAAGAGCCGCAATGCGTGTGCATACGAGGCAGTCCTTTGTAAATAACGTCACGAAACAGTCCTTAATGAGCGGAATGCGACTGGAGCTGCAGATTGCCGACCCCTGCCCATGGTAAACAAGACTTCCATGGTAAACTGGGCTTCCATGGTAATTTGGACTCCCGTGGTAATCTGGACTCCCATGGTAATCTGTACTCCCATGGTAAACTGGACTTCCATGGTAATCTGGACTCCCATGGTAATCTGGACTCCCATGGTAATCTGGACTCCCATGGTAATCTGGACTTCCATGATCGGGGGTCGGCAACCAAAATAACACAAAGAGCCTTTTTTTATTTCAAGAGCCGCACAGCAGTCCTTAAAGAGCCGCCACGTGCAGCTCCAGAGCCGCAGGTTGCCCCGACCCCTGCTCTGAATGGACTCCAGAACTTCCTAAAGTGGAGGCCCTTCTGCCAGCAGTGGCATGAGCAAGCAAATGCAGAGCTGCACCTTTTAGCAGAAGAACGGCCTTTGCCATGATGTTTAAAATGAATGCAGAGGAAAGAAGTCCTGCGGCACGCCCTGTGATCCAGCACTTTTGGAGATGAGGATTGGTGGCTCACACAGACATTTGTAACGTTCTCACACCCCCACTGGGCTGCAATGCATCTTGGAGAGGGCGATAAACAATCGCGTTTCGTAAATCCATTAGTGCGCGCTGTTGTGCGTTGTACCCCCGTGAGCATGAGTTTCCTCCAGGTACTGTCGATTCCTCCCCACATGTGTAAAACATCTCTTAAACAGTAATTAGTAAAACGTTCCATCACAGGGCCCTTCTAAAATCTTGAGACTCAGTGAGACTTTACTTGATAGTTATTATCATCGTATATAGAACACTTCCACCAAGTGTACATGGATAGCCATTGGTGTCAATCCACTGCTGGATGAGGGCCTCCACCACACCGTGGGGTCATCGGCCGTTATATGGCCACACTTTACGTGGGAGCATAGAACTACAGTTGGATGGATTTTCTGTTTTGACTCCTTTTGCTGACGACGACGGAACCCCATGCATCGTTTTGGAATTGCATTGTTATCCCCCGTTCCAAACTTCCGTTTGTATGCTAGCTGCATCATTGTCATTGCATGATTTGGCTGTTTTGGTAAAGAACAGGGATGTTCCTCTCCGCTTGGTACGCGCGCGAGCCTCTTGCATGCCGCTGATAGGACGTGCGTTAAGTCCAGGGCTTGCGTTGTCATTAGCACATTAACCTGACGTACTGTGTCGCTCCGTGTCTCTTCGCGTCACGCCCTGGAACGGTACGCAGGACCGAAGCCAGCGTTGACCGACGTCCAGGCCGAGTTGGACCGCATGGCGCGCAAGTCCGAATCTACTTCCGTCCTCGCAGCGACCAACTTCGATGACACCGCCTCCTGAAAAGCAATCCCCTCTCTTGCCGTGCGCACGCTCCTCCAGACCTCTGAACCGTAACCATTGCCTCTCCCCCACCTCGCGTCCTTCCCCGCGACCTGATCTTCGAGCCTTTCCCGAATTTGCTGTCTTAACTTGGTTACTAGGACAACCACTTTTCTCAGAAGACGAAAATAACCTACCTTTGCAACCATGGCGACGTGCCTCTATCATAATGCCTCCTTGCTCCGTCGAAGCCCTCCCCCCGCTAATTAAAGCGGTTCCAGTGTGGCGGGTGTCACTGTATGGGTGTGTGTGTGCGCGAGTCACCGTGCTTTATCGGCTAAGAATTTCAGTGGGGTAAGGGGGGGGGGCTCAAGTGATGACGTGAAAGCGGAGGTTCGTTTGTGCTGGTTGATTAAGCTGCGTGTGCAAAGCAGGTCACTTAATTGCACGTTGACACGAGTGGGGGGGGGGGGGGCATGAGTTTACTACCACCTAGATGTGTGTTCGCGTGTATATTCTAACAAACTTGCGTTACGCTTGTCTGTGTTATTGGCTTGTATCATCAAGTTACGCACACGTACGTACGAGCATTTGTACACGAGCATACGAACTCCGAAAATGTTGTTTGCACACACGCAGCGCAATTCCTTGCAACCGACGACACTCGAGGCGTTTAACTGGTTCTGCGCGCGTGCAAACAAGCGCTCGAGTGGAAAAGCGTTTGCCTCACGCTTGTGAAGGGACCCCTCCGTCGGTTTGTAGAGGCTTGGTGTGCCCAGGGTAGCCATTCCAAGCCATTGCTGTAGCACCAAGTTAGCCGTTGAGCTTACAGAGTCGCCGCGAGACCCGTGGCCCAGGAAGCACGTGCGCTCACTCACACGGTTGTCCGTCGAGCGAGCGCCCTTGCAGGGCCTCGCCGGGGGAGGGAGTCAACGTTTCAAGGGCGTCTCCCCATTGCGGACTCGTTGGGCACTGTGTATAAATACATTCAGGGGGCCTTAGAAGGCAGTCCACTCCATTGACTTGAGAAACGTTTCCAAAACGTGAGAGATTTAAATACGGTGTATTGTTTTTTTTTTCATCTGGTAATAAATTCAGAGAGAATAATAGAGGTTGTTGTTAGTCTGCTGAAGTGGCCTAGTTTGTAGATTAATCAGCGCTAACAGTGGTATTGTTCACATTTGTGAAGTGAGCACACACTGAAAACTCTAGACCGGACTGAATAAATTCCATCGTCAATATTAATGTAAGGCAAGTAATTTGCGACCTAGATTGTCACCAGTATGGTCAAGATACACATTTCAGGATGTCTGCGAAATATACGTGGGCATATTTCGATTGCCATTGACCCTTGTAATAGCACCAACAGACAAAAGTCCAGCAGTTGATGGAAAATGGCCACTCATCACGTTATTGTAATCAAAAGATAAATTACGAAAACAAAAAACATTGCATATGACGATGCGAAGTTGAAAAGTCCCTTTGTCTCAAATATTGAAAGGCTGAATAAAAATCAATCTCTGAGCCTCCTCCAAAACAATTGTCCATGTTCCCCTTGCCAGTCAGCCAATGAGGAAGAGTGCTTCGGCACCCAATGAGCGGTGCAAATATTCCATCTTGAGTCAATAAAAAAGGGGCAAGTGAAATGCGTTTAATTAATGGAGTGGCTGCCTTTGAAAATGTTTTAAAACTCTAAAATATTTGAAAACGTCAAGCACGTGAGTGCTGCGATGTGCATGTCACGAAACTCATGCTGCGAATTTAACTGCGATAAAAACGTGTTTGTGTTTTTTTATTTGTGCTTTTTTCTTGTAATATTTCTTTTTTTGGGGGGGGGGGGGAATTCCTATCTTGCCCACTTTTAACCCTGACTCTCCCACCCCGCCACCCCAATACACTTGACCCTCTCCCCTACTGCGTGCTCGGCCGTGTATATAGTGAAGCACAAGTTTTATTTAAGTACATCACGTGTGAAGGCGTGTGTAGAGTCTCGGTGCAGAGCACATAGATGCGCAAAGGCTTGTCCTCATAACCCCCCCCAACTCCTCCCCGCAGCTCTCCTCTGTGCTTTCTAAACCCTCTCCACTACCACTCCCCTCCACAAACCCTCGCGACACTCCTTCCAGCACTTTGTCTGCATCGCTGTGTGTGCAGAACTCCCACATGTAAAGTACACAAGCAGGCTGCTCCATCGACTGGGACGTGAAGAAGGAAACACCCCAGCAGTATAAGAGCATGGAGAATGGGCTCGCAGAATACAGACGTACAAATAAATAAAGCATTACGACAAACGTCTTCTCGTTACGCTGCCTTTGCTTTGGTGGGTGTCGGATAGATATTTATCATCGTCAAATGCACTTCATTGTTGCGATTCGGACCATCGCCCGACTGTGCCAACAACAGTGTCACCACCGGGAGAGTTTATTGTCGTGAAAGTGAGAAGCGCCAATTGCACCGCCGAGATTTTGGGTTAGAATCCATACCGCGATTAAACCGGGTTCGCAAGTGTAGTGAGTTGATGGGACATAGCCCGGTCACCGAAGACTGAAAGAAATCGCGCGATTAAATTACGTTGCACTTAATTTGGGCAAATGCTAGCTGTGAGAATTGAAATGATTGGTTTGTCACGTGATTAACATTACTCTTGAATGTCAGGACAGGTAGGAAAGTGCTGCCCCCGACTTAATAGAGCAGGCCACTTAAAGGAATCGCAAGTAGTTATGTGAAATCTACTTCCAAGGACCATTCTCTAACGTGGAGGGTTGCCGTTGTTTGCAACAGATGCTAATAGCTGCTTCAAATTATATGACATGAGCTAATAACACAATTTGAATGCAAAGTATCAATTGGAAGTTAGTGCTTGGAACAAAGCTTAGTTTCAACGTTTCTTTACGCCAAAGCAGCAGTGAAGAACCTATTCCTTCCCGAGGGCCACAAAGGACTTTCAAAACTCTTTGGCAGGCCACACAAGTTGACAAACCATTGGTCATGCTATGCCTGCATTGATTATTGATTGTGGTGTTTTAACGACTTTAAAGGCAATAGGTGTTTGAGTGCTTGTATGAAACCGTGTCACCAGGTAAAAAACGTTCCATGTTAAGTCACCCTGTCAAGAAGGGTCGTATTATGCAATAGGCACTGCCTAGGGCCTACGAAAACTTAACGACCTACGAAAAAAAACTTGACCATGTTTTTTTTTTGCATGAAAAAAAATGTTACCAAGATATCTTCTTGAATACATATTTACAGAGCAAAGATAGGCACAGGGTTTCAAATAAAATCTGCTTATCTGTGGCACACAGCGCACTCCCATCGAATTAAGGCGCAGACTAAATAATGAACACATCAGTAGCGACATCTGTCCAGCGGCTGGACAAAGTACCGCGTGAAACAAGCGGAGTGACCGCGGCGGTACTAGTGACATGGGGCAGCAGTATCAACTGCAGAGAGTTGTCACTGGAGGCCTGTGAAACAGAAGTGCCTAGTGCCGACAAGAACATTAATCCGGCCCTGGCCGTCGGTGCGCCTAAGATACGCACCACGACGTTTAAATGTGGTCTTGTGTGGACATGGGCCGCGTGAAATCAGAAAGTTTATCCTGGAGAAATCCGATGAGCTATGAGGCTCTTCATCTAGATTTGAAGCTTTCGTGACTGCAGGGATCCATACTCTGGTTCTTTCGGTAAAGTCACGTAGGTATAAATTAAATCACTTTTCGATTGCAACACAAGCAATCATCATGAGGTGGGAAAACCACAGCAAGAAAAACATTTTTGCTGTGGTTTTCCCACCTGATGGTGATTGTGTTGCAATCGAAACGTCGTTATTTAATTTATTTTATACCTACGTGACTTTACCGAAATAACCAAAGAGTATGAGGCTCTTCTTCACAGATGCCCAAATTAAGTTCATAGCCAGAGGTCCCCCCCCCCCCCCCACCAATGAAATGTACTCGCGGACAATTCCGAAAAAGGTTTATTGTTTTTACTTTATATTTACATGGCAACAAAACATTATCGAGCGGATAAGATCACTCTCGCATTGCGTAATCCCAAGCTGAGTGGAGCAGCAATTCTCTGGACGCAGACATTGCCCACATTGCTTTAATCGGACAGCACTTTCCAAAAAGTTTTGTGAACCGATTACTAATTAATCATGCTTGGCATCAACATTATTTTAGGTTTCTCATTTAAAACATGAATATCCCTCGAGTTTATAAGAGTGTACTTTTCATCTTTCAATCTACAACCCTTGACAGCCCAGTTGTGTATGTTTCATACCACCCTCCCATGGATAACAAGCAGTAGTGTATACTTATCTCTACTTACAGCTATTACCTATTGCTATATGGATTTAAACACAACCACTTAGAGCGAATAACTATTTGGCCCTACTGCGCAACATTGTGCACTGCAAACAAAACGGTGACTGTGAGTTTCAATTGCGTTATGGATTTCTCAGCCTCTTGATACAATTTCCCAGAGTGTGCCCGATGTCGGAAGTAAGGCAGAGTGGAGCCAGGATTGTGCCAGAACGTTGCAGGCTGTGTGTGGGACTGCACTGCGGGTAGTGGACAATGCAGCAAAACCACACATTGTTGAATCTTCATTTGAAGCTTTCCTGACTGCAGAAATCCATTCTCTTTGGTTCTTTCGGTAAAGTCACGTAGGTAGAAAATTAATAGATCACGACGTTTCGATCGCAACACAAGCAACCGTCATCAGGTGAGACAGACAGCAGGAGAACTGCTCCTGCATCCGAACCAAAGAGTACACGCATTATTGGTTTGACGACGTGACAAATCTGCATCATCCAGCAGCGGTTTTGCCCCCACCCCCCAAAAAAAGGGGGGTGGGGAGGCCTGTACATGGTATGGATATTGAATAGTAAAATTCATAAAAAGATAACGTGGGGGGGTGCCTCTCGGAATCAGCCGAAGGTCTCCTGCGATGCGTAGACAATGTAGAGGAAGCCGTCGGCGTCCCGCTGCTGCTCGTACAGCTGCGACAGGGGCACGCTGGCGCTCGCGATGCTGCGCTGGTTCACCAGCAGGAAGAACGCCTTGCCCGGGTCCAGCTCAAGACGGCGCCTGGGAACGCAATGGGTGGAGGAGGTAAAAGGGTGAGCGGAGAGAGAGAGACCGTCGCAATCTACTGGACGTTGGGAAAGAGCTTAATAGCTCGTCGGATTCCTCCAGTGTAAATTGGCATTCTGAATCCCCGTGCCACTGTTGGGAGACACTCTTTGATAGGAAGCGAGCTCTGACTGATGTGGTCCTAAGAGTTCAAATTACTTGAATTGCACCATTGGAACCTCCTTTGCCAGTAGCAAAATATGATAATTGTTTTTTTACCCTTTTTATCTGGCAACAAAACTGACACCTTTTTTTTTATCAGAGTTGTGTTTTTTGTTTTCATTCCGACCGCAGGTATTGTGGTCAATGCAAACATGACTCCTTGTACAAAACGGTGTCACTTTTGTTGCCAGATAAAAGGGTAAAAAAACGATTATCATACTTGAATTGCAATTGGGATCATTTACTGTTGGCAGACAAACCCCATGTGCACACATGTGCCATTTTCATCAATCTCCTGTTGGATGGGAGACTCCCCAGCACGCGGGTAGTTATTTGGTCATACTTCACGCTGGTTAGTACGGGTTGGTGAAGGCGGGCAGCGTAGATGTGAAAGCATAGAAGTACAGTACAACAGACTTTGCGACACTGCTGTCCGCCGCAGCCCCAAAGTCTCTAAAAATCCCGTTACAGACGGTAATCACTGATCCAAGCATCTGAAGAAATCAGGCACATTCCAGGTGCTTCGGGCAAAACTATTATATTTTTTCGGCTTCATGTGTTATATTACATTGATTAATCACTTGATTTTAAAAGGGTGCGCATTCCCCCCTATCCTTCCACACACCCTCCCCCACCTCCCAACAAATACAAGAACCAATTTGTCTTCAAAAAGAGCCTACGCCATTATGTAGTAACGATCGTTCATCAAATTATATTGGGGCTGTAATCAAGACTCCGTGTGATAGAATTGCTCATTGTGTGTATCAACACTGCTGGCTGAATGGCATCCCATTGGGCCCTCTATGCAAACAATGAATTTGCACGTGAACACTGACTCTGTTCAAATTAAAAGTGGACTGGGCACGCGCTTGGCAGCCGAGGTAAGTGAGTAACAATCAATTGGCTTCAGCGGCCATCAGCCGTGCACTGTCTTTAAATTTCAGAGACATAATCGCTGCGCTGGGTTGGCTTTGCATTTGCTTGCATTCGCATTAATGCATTGCTGATTGGGCACTTCACACCAAACGTTTGAAGCCCGTCAAACCAAAGTATGATCAATGCTGTAGAGTTTCGTTTGGTGAAATTATAGGCGGCAGTATGTTACGACTCCTTGCATGCTGTGCGTATCGACGCTAATTGGAAAGCTGCGACTTATTTCAAACAAGCGCTTTACTGTGTATTGTACGTGCGGTATCACTTAAACTGACAAACTCGTTTTTTTATAATTCTTCATGTTTATCATCTCCCCCGTGTGATTTCGGTTCACGCCCGTCCAAGAGGCATGAACCACCACACCCGGACAACGTTCGTGTGCAATTTTTTATTTCAATATATTTTTGTTGTCATTTCCTCCCCCCCCCCCCCCAATTTCATCTCAACCGCGATACTGACATCGTCTCACGAGATGAAAAACTCATTTGAGATCTCTCGCTCGAGCAGTGACGCTAGAATGGTGGGTCAAGAGTCATTCTGTCGAGCTCCCCTGCCCCAACACGAACGATATAAATGAATCAATTAAATCAGTAAAGATGTATCCGACTTTATTTTTGGTAATCGGGAGTCTCCCAAAGGCAGGAAACCCTCTACAGGCCACGCCCAGCACAGATGGGATAAGAAGTGAGACCTCCCCCATCCCCCCCCAACTATTGTTGTGTTATCCGATTAGCTGAGTAATAAAACTGATCATCAGTAATGAATTACTAAATCGTATAGCTCAGCTGCGGAGATCAGTCCACAAAATATCACAGAGCTACATCATAGATCACATCCAGTAGGGGGCAGCACTTTCCCACCTGATCTTGTCATGTTTGTCACGTGACAGTAAACCAAATCTTGTTAATTTGAAAGCTGGCATTCAGTCAGATTCAATGTAGAACCAAATTTTACATGATTTTTTTTGTGTGTGCAGTCGTTTGGTGATCAGGCCCGAGACGATAAACTTACCACACATGACAACCCAGTTATAATCACTGAATTCGAACCCATGATCTCAGCTGCTCCAGCTCAGTACTCTCTGAGCCACCTGGCCAACTCGAAATCAAGTGGCTTTCCAGCAGCAGACACGTGAACCAATGTGCAACACAGCATACATTTAAATTTCGATTTAAAGCTTTCGTGACTGCAGGGATTCATCTTCTTGGTTCTTTCAGTAAAGTCACGTAGAAGGGAAATAATCAAATAAAATAAATAAATAATAAAATACTACAATTCTCACGACGTTTCGGCCACAACGCAAGCAGCCATCCTCAGGTGAAGAACAAGTCTGTCGGAAAGACAGCGTCTGAATTTATTCTATATTGCCTCTCATCTATAAAGCCTTGATTCATAGATTCAAGTCCAGAACCCACATTAAATGTGATGCGGTCATTGCTGACTTGAGACCCAGCATCTCTGAGACCATGCTTGTGCGAGTCTGTGACTGTGTGCTGGATTGTTAAATACCGTGCTAGAACGCCGTGCGACTGATTCCTAGGGGAGGTGGTGGTGGTGGTGAACAGCTGCAAGGGTAAGAGGCAGCGAGGGCTGCGCACGCCGCGATGAGAAGACGGATACCAACCGGAGGATCTTAACCAGCTCGCTCATGTTGACGTGATCCGGCACCAGGAACTTGGTCTTGTCCAGCTTGGGCAGATGCTTCTCACCCTTGCAACGCTCGATGATGACCTGCGACCGCACACGGAGAGGGTTCATCAGCCTCGGTGCGTCATACACAAGCGACCACACCGTGTGAACTGACATACACCAGCGTATACAGACTGTAATTGAAGATAATGACTTGACTTAATGCCTTGGCGATGCTGACGAGTCGGCACTCGCTGGAAGTCCACTCGTGGCGAATCTCCAAGTGGTGATGGTTTCTGGCCAAGTCTGTCAGCGTCTGGTAATGTGAAGCCCAGATCCAAGTAATCTTCCATTATGTTAAAACATTTCTCCCTTGGGCAACTGCTAGTCTTTGACCGTCTGATATTGCTGTGGAGAACCTTCAGAAATCTGTGTGCCTATCCTTGATCACGTGTCTGAAATAAGATAGCCACCTCTGCTGAACCATGACCGATGTGAATAACGAGGCATGAATAACTAGGATGTAAATATTTTAAGAAAGAAAAACAAATGGTTGATGTTCCCATAAGCTTCATCAAATGTATTCCTCCACCCATGCTGAAGGATTCAGTCTTGGTCAAGACTCAGATCAAAACACTTCAATGTACAGGTAGTCCTCTACTTACGATGGAGATGCGTTACGACGACCCCATTGATAAGTAAAAAATATCGTAAGTTGAAGATGGCCCAGCCTACCCAGGAGTCTTAAAGAATGGTGATAATTTAGCAAAACAGAGCAATTTACAGTACCGTACTGCAGAGGTGTGGACTCGAGTCATGTGACTTGGACTCGAGTCAGACTCGAGTCATGAATTTGATGACTTCAGACTCGACTTGGACTTGCATAACAATGACTTTGTCCCACCTCTGCCGTACTGTATAAACTATATACTGTATGTATTTATTAATTACAATACTGTATTGCACAGTAAAATGTAAAGTAAAAAACAAGGTAAATTCTGAGCCTACCTATATGAACTGCAATTTAATAGAAAGTTAACACTGAGACAACTTGGTGGTGAGAGTGAGACATAACCACACAAGGCGGGAGATGCGTACATCCCGGCAGCGTCTCAACGTACAATATCGTACCTCGTACGCTGCTGCGGCTGCCTGCCGCGCGAAATTTTAAGTATTTTACAATTTTGTCAGATTGCTATCGCCATCGTAAGATCGAAATATCGTAAATCGGAGCATCGTAACTCGGGGACTATCTGTATGCATCTGTCCTCACACAGCTCGTCTCTAGAATTTCCTCCCGCCCATGACTTTTTCCAATTTCGAACTCTTATCTATTACAGATTAACTCTCATCTAAAACACTTTCTGTGGTGCTGTTTGTTGCTGACCACTTGGCATGATGAGCTTAGCAACCGTGATAAAAAAAACTCAATGTTTCTAAATAATTGTAATAAGAAATTTTTCAAATTAAACGTTTGTATGGAATAAGTAAAAAATAAATGCACCTTCATCACCATCTGACACCGCAGCGTTTTCTGGTTCCTCTCTTACCAAGCGTGGTCGAAATGCTATTTCTAATCTGAATTTCCATCCTAAGTGGTTGGCATACGTTGCTCAAGTCAAAAGCCGCTTCATAATTATACTAATAATTACCCATTATATTTAAAGTGTCTGAAATGTACGTCTAAATCGCAGAACTGTTCTCTTACAAGAGAGACAAGGCCTCATGTTTATCTCTCATCGCATGTTTGCTTTGAATCGTGCAAGTAAGAGCTGGTTATATACAGTTCATGCAAATTATATATAAATGATAGTACGCATTATAAATTCAGGCCAATCCAATGAAGAGACAAGAGAAAATTAATATTTTAAAAAGGGGTTGAGAAAAAGATGCATAACGAGGCAACTGGCAGCCGGTGAGTGAGCAGAGTTGGTGAATCAGTTGATTGCCGGATCAACAATCAACTTTGACAGCTTTACATTGAAACCCCAATTAGGTTCCAAAATGTAAGTGCCAGGTAGTGTAAATCAGTAGGCGTACGCGTTTGTGGAGGCTACGCGGAGATGAAACGAGCGTTCCAAAACGCTCTCTTGACGAGAAAACCACTCACGGGTATCTTGTTGGTGTGCAGAGCGCGGATCTGAGTTGAGTCTGCGATGCGCTCCTCTGAAAGACAACCGTGGCCCATGCAACAGTTATTTTCATAACCTCGGTCAATTCAAGAAATGTTATTTGTTGCGAGCCGCTCGGCATGTTTGAGCCTTTGGGGCCAATAACAGCACACGTCAGCAAGACACGAATGGGAAGTGAAAACATTTGTGAATTTAAAAACAACAAAATAGGCGCATGGCTCAGCCTCACAATGCTCACCCCGACTTCATGAGGCTCATTGTCATGGTCAAATGGTCATCCTGACAAAGCCACTGATGCCACCACGTGAACCTTCAGCTAGATCCCAATCTGATCTCCAAGGTCTCCTCTTACGTCTCATCGTCATCATCGAGATTTACAGTTTTTCCTTTGTTATACACTGGTCGACATGTCCATCAAGGTTCGGTAATCACCGTCACCACCACCACAATCTGCCTTGAGGTCTGCGTGTCACACATTTCACACGTCCTTCAAGGACCGTTCTCACAGTGGCCTACGTCTCATCCTCATCACCGTCACCACTACCACGATCTGGCTTGAGGTCTCCTTGACACACATTTGACACGTCCTTCAAGGACCGCTCTCACAGTGGCCTACGTCTCATCACCGTCACCACCACCACAATCTGGCTTGAGGTCTCCTTGACACACATTTGACAGGTCCTTCAAGGACCGCTCTCACAGTGGCTTACGTCTCATCCTCATCACCGTCACCACCACCACCACGATCTGGCTTGAGGTCTGCGTGTCACACATTTGACACGTCCTTCAAGGTCCGCTCTCACAGTGGCCTACGTCTCATCCTCATCACCGTCACCACCACCACCACGATCTGGCTTGAGGTCTGCGTGTCACACATTTGACACGTCCTTCAAGGACCGCTCTCACAGTGGCCTACGTCTCATTCCCATCACCGTCACCACCACCACCACAATCTGGCTTGAGGTCTGCGTGTCACACATTTGACAGGTCCTTCAAGGACCACTCTCACAGTGGCCTACATCTCATCCTCATCACCGTCACCACCACCACCACCACAATCTGGCTTGAGGTCTGCTTGTCACACATTTGACACGTCCTTCAAGGACCGCTCTCACAGTGGCTTCTCCTTTGGGTCGACACTTCTGTAGGTTGATTTGCAATTGCAGGAAACCGTAATTGTTAATAATAATTAAAATCCAGTTTGCCGCACGTATAGAAGAGTTTGACAATAACCACGACTATTTATCTTTTTTTTACTGACAATTTAAGGCAAACGAGCCACGCGGTGACGTTGGCAACGTGTCAACTCGGCGCATCAAAATTATGAAAGTTCCACTAGGAAACGGTTACCGGTTTCTGACTTTCGTAACCGGTCGTGTGCATGATACACACACACTTGTGTAGTGTATCACACACACGTGTGTAGTGTGTGTGTGATACACTTGTGTAGTGTGTGTGTTACACTTGTGTTATGTGTAGTGTGTGTGTGTTACACTTGTGTTGTGTGTAGTGTGTGTGATACCCTTGTGTAGTGTGTGTGTGTAGTGTGTGATACACTTGTGTAGTGTGTGTGTGTTACATTTGTGTTGTGTGTAGTGTGTGTGTGTTACACTTGTGTTGTGTGTAGTGTGTGTGATACCCTTGTGTAGTGGGTGTGTGTTGTGTGTAGTGTGTGTGTGTGTGATACACTTGTATAGTGTGTGTGTAGTGTGTGTGTGTGATACACTTGTGTAGTGTGTGTGTGTGGTGTGTGTGTAGTGTGTGTGTGATACCCTTGTGTAGTGTGTGTGTAGTGTGTGTAGTGTGTAGTGAGTGTGTGTGATACACTTGTGCAGTGTGTGTGTGGTGTGTGTGTGTAGTGAGTGTGTGTGATACACTTGTGTAGTGTAGTGTGTGTTACACTTGTGTAGTGTGTGTAGTGAGTGTGTGTGATACACACACTTGTGCAGTGTGTAGAGACAAGAGACATAAGACAGAGAGACGTAACCCAGTATCAGATGCCAAACACAATACTGTATTGATTTCGCATCGCACCTCGTGACCTTGGTTCGGAACGTGACACACCAACCCCCACCCCCCGTGTCCACATGCGTGTGCGCCTACATGTGTCACTCCGCTGCTGGATTAGGGTTATTTCACCATACTTCACCAAGCTGGTCGGAACGGATTCGTGAACCTCGGAGTAGGATTGATTGTGTCTACACTGCTGCTACAGCTGCTACAATAACAACACCCATAGCGCCGTGCTCAGGGTCTTTAACAACAAAAACAAACTCGGACTTAAAACTCGCGTGGCGATTTGAACCGCGTGGCAATGACGGAGAGGCAACCGATGTGGAACTACGAATCCCTGATCTGCACTCAAGCTGAGCACCATCCAGCCGACAGCGACAGCTGTGGGTGGTGATGGAGATGATGATGATGATGGAGATGATGAGCATGGCCTGTGGGTGGTGGTGGTGATGATGATGATGGTGGTGATGATGATCATGCCGTGTGGATGGTGGAGGTGGTGATGATGATGATGGTGGAGGTGATGATGGTGATGATGATGAGCATGGCGTGTGGGTGGTGGTGGAGGTGATGATGATGATGGTGGAGGTGATGATGATGATCATGGCGTGTTGGTGGAGGTGATGATGATGATGATCATGCCGTGTGGATGGTGGAGGTGATGATGATGATCATGGCGTGTTGGTGGAGGTGATGATGATGATGATCATGCCGTGTGGGTGACAAGACGAGAGTGCGTGAGACGCGACGCGCCACAAGCTCACCGAGGCTCCGCGTCTCCTTGAACGAGAGCGACCCGGCCATCGCTGTCTTCCTCCCTCCCTCCTCCTCTTCCTGCGGGGCCCGACAACAACTAACAACGACACGAGGGGAAACTCCGAGACCCCCGAGAGGAGGGAGGGCAGCAGGAGACGTGGCGACACCCCACGCACAACACAAAGACCCCAGGGTCGTGGAATGTCACCGCACGTGGTTGTGACGGGCGCGATTTCACAATCAACCACAACAACAATAACAAGGCAGACGACAGACACACCACCACATACACACCACCACACACACCACCACCATACACACACCACACCACACAGACACCACCACACACCACCACCAAACACCCCCACCACACACACCACACACTCCACCACACCACCACACACACCATCACCACCACACCACCAAACACCACCACCCCAGCTCCTTATCGCCTTTAACATTCTGTTGGGGGGGTGTGTGAAGGCCACCACGGTGGGACCAGAGGGTGGGACGGGTGGCCAGCACCACGCCCGGCCGCCTTTGTCTCCCTACTAGCGGCGATGTTTACACACCGAACCGGGTACTCATTAGAGGCTGAGTCGACCTAGGGGCAGGCACAGGACCGGTTCAGATAATCCGTCACCGGTGTTGGCCTTTTGAGCGGCGATCGACGTCGGGCCAAATAATAATAGAAATGAAATAATTATATTACTTTATTTATAAAAATGATAATAGAAATAAAATACTTTTAATTTTTATTTTATTTATAAAAATAACAACAGAAATGAAATAAGTACAATATTTTTTTATTCTTATTTATTTTTTACCTACGTGACTTTACCGAAAAAAAATCTAAGAGTATGAATCCTTGCAGTCACGAAAGCTTCAAATCTAAAAGTGTTTAGATTTGACTAACTCGTAATGCCTCGTCTGTATCGTATACTACACTGTAGAGTTTACCGTCTCTCGCATGCAGTCTTGTTTGTACTCTCTAGCACACTTTATATACCAGTGTCCCCACACTCCAGTTGTACTGCACATATATGCTCTCCACCTGCAGGCTGCATTGACCAACGTGGTGAAGTATGGTCACATGAACCGCCGCTATTCAAATAGCGTGGCAGGAGAAGGCCTTCGTCCAAAGGGATATTCATATATGCAATACATGAATGAATTAGCGCGGTTATCTATGTATATCATCCCACAAAAAGCAACAGTTCAGCATATAATTATACACCAGCTACCCGTCAATCAAACGTGATTTTCACGTCCTGTAATTAATTTTAATTGCATAAAGTAGTAACGGTACGGGGTTCAAAATTGCCTTCTTTGCTCGAACGGGAATTAATGCTTACGTGGTTGGAGATGGGTGGTGGTGGAGGTGTGTGTGTGTGGTGGGGGATGGATGCTTTCATCCAGCAGTGGATAGGACATGGCTAATGATGATGTTGTCACAGCCAGATTTGCTGTATCAATTCTTGATTCAGCAAATTTGGCTGTGACGGTCCCATCTGATGACGCAGACTTGTGTTGCCTCCGAAACGTCGTGATTTTTATTGTTTTATTTTTTATAAATTTTAATTTAATTTTTTTACCTACGGGACTTTACCGAAAAAACTAAGAGTATGAATCATTGCAGTCACGAAAGCTTCAAATCTAGAATTAATGATTATGTTGACATCGTGGACGAAGCGCCACGTGGCCGCGCTGCGGTGCTTATAAGCGCCGCGTCCCCGAGGACGTCCGTGTGCCTCGTTAGCGCAGTAGGTAGCGCGTCAGTCTCATAATCTGAAGGTCGTGAGTTCGATCCTCACACGGGGCATCGGATTTTTATTTTATTTTTGCGTTAGTCACAATGGACATGGTCATGACCCAGCAACCCAATTAATTGGCCCCAAACATATTTTTGCATATCGATGTCTGCTTTAAATAAAGCGTACTTGAAACATGTTTTTGATCATTAAATGGAGGGTCACAGGTCACCTGGACCACCCTTTTATAGCCGCCAATTATCTGTCAGCGAATTTTTCAATGCTAAAACCATCTTCGTTTAACTATTATAATGGTGTTGACCTTCATGATGAAATCATCCCGGAATGCTAATGTGGATTGAGTCTAGATCAGTGCTCGAATTAATGAATGGCCTACTGGCATGCATAAAAGGTGGTATAGGCTCCATTGTCCAGTACTTCTATGTTCACTCGTATTCGCTTTCCGCTTTCAGCAACGTGCAATGACCAGCGTGGTGAAGTATGGCTCAAACGACCTACACGATGTGCAGGAGGCCCTCATCCAGCAGTGGATTTGACAAATGAACTGTTCGAGGACATACCTGTCAACCCCATGTCAGTGCCCCTACCTTATTACAGACCAAATCAGACCTTATTGGTCACCTCGTGTCCCTTAAAAATCTCAACGTTCATCCTACAAAGTCCCATGACAATGGAGAAACACAAAGACAAAAACACATTTTTTGTTTGCTGGTATTGAAACGTATGGACCTGAAAACTAAATTTCCCTGTTACATAAATACGGGGTGAACCGTATGGGTTGAAAGGCATGCGAGAGTATGATACTTTATTGTTGTTAGAAAGGTAACCTTTAATGTAACGAGGAATCTTGATTCGCTTTGCAGCTTCTTGATAACAGATGTCCAGTTTGGTGTGGCTCAGCAAGTTATAATGGTATCAGATTCTCACGGTTGTACGGTGTATAAAGTGTTGGACATTACACCCTGTGTTGAGAGGGCATTTGGAGAACTCAAATACCATAGAACATACTGTATACACCGCTGGCCAGAACTTGTCAAACCAGATTTTTGTTGTCATGTATCTTGTGTCCACAGGGTTATGTGCAAAATTATGCACATTACCCCATCAACATTACACCACAGCCCACTTCGTGTGAACAATAGCTTTTATTTTATGCTGGTGTTGCTGCAAATGTTAAATATTATTCTCATGAATTCGTCAATAATCCCATAATTAACAACCAAGCGACTTATCATAACAGCCTCATTCGCAAGGGAGACTTGCACAAAATACAGTGAAACGAGTCGAGGGCTCTCATCACAAGGACTTGATCCACACTGACACCTAGTGTTTGAGAACGTCACATACAACATTGTGGTTTGTTTTTATATCTGCGAATTCAAGAGTTGTTTTGGCGTTGTTTCTGGTCCCACACTGGTGAGACTAGGCCCTCTCTGGTGTAGGCCAATCAGTTAATTCTGATTTTGTTTAAGCCAACGGAGATAAAAAGGTAATACATATTAAAGATAATACAACCATGTACTGTATAAAGTAATGACATAGTTGCTTGCATTTTTTTTTCACTTCAAATTTTTTAACAATGATTCAGGGAATGTGTAACCAGGGAACACATTAATTTTTATGTTGCTAAATTAATCGATACCGCAATTTGGACAAGTCTCTATCACAAAGGTGGTGTGAGGTAATAGCTAAAAAAAATGATACTTTATTGCGTTATCGAATATGTGTAATAAGATTAATAAAAAGTGTGTGAGCGTTTCAGACAATAGTTTAAAGCGATTTGAAGCATGTTTTATTTGGGGGGGGGGGCAGAGCTTTGTGACGTCATATTTGAGGGGGGTCTGAAAATCGCGTGACGTCATTTATGGACGGCCCCTAAGTCATCCCGGAGTTATTTCGACTCGATTCTCACACAGTTCGAATGAATCGAAATCGAATCTGAAGTCACATCGGGTAGATGGAAACCATTCTCGCGTCCGATGCGGAATCGACACTGTGTAGTGAGAATAGCCGTTGAATCGATACTAAAGCGATAACAGTTGGATGGAATCGAATGCGAGTTGTTTTAAATGGAATCGATTCCGGAGCAGGCGCACCAAGATCCCCCGGAAGTGAACGGAGCTCGCGCCACGTCACCCGAGCGCGCCCAGCCCCGCCCCCCGCCTCCCCGCCCCCCGCCACCACCCACGCGCGCTCGCGCCATTGGCGGGAAAAGTCTCCGCCGCCGCCCCCGCGCGTCACGTGCCCCGCGCCTTATCCAATCACAGACCGGGAAATCCGGTTCCGGATGTGTTGTGAAGGGCGACGAGTGTGGGTGGGGGCGGGGCGAGAGAAAGCGGAAGTGACGTGACGTTAACCGGATGTGCGCTCAGTCATTGAGCAGACGACAGCGTGGGGGTAGGCTTGATGGCTGTTCGCGTTCGTCAGCGTTAAGTGACATTAATTGAAGCGCAAACAATTATACGAGTTCTTAATTTGGTGACGCGCACTTCGCCATGGCCGAGACGACGGACATCGCGGAGTGGTTCCGCGGCATCCCCGTGGTGACGCGCTACTGGTTCGCGGGCTCCGTGCTCTTTCCACTGCTGGGCAGGTTCGGGCTGCTCGACCCGGCCAACCTGGTGCTGGACGCGACGCGCCTGTTCAGCCGCTTCCAGGTGAACCTCGCCTAACCCTCAACCCGCCAAACTCGGATCTCGAATGACAGACACCCTGTCCTGATGTTCAATTGAAAAAACTAGGGTTAGATCGCGTTATTTATAAATGTGTCGTAACCCTCCCACCACTCGACACGGCCGCTCAGCAAAAAAAGTGTCACGTTGACAAGAGATAAATAGTTCACTGCTTTAGCCCACCCGGTGTGTTGAAGTGTGAAACCACAACATTTACAATTTTTTTAGTAGTACGACGTTTCGCTGGTAATTGCATCCAGCCTCATCGGGCAATTCGCCAGAATGGTGAGGCTCTGCTCTGGCTCCCGGTCTTAAATAGAGCAGCAGCAGGGTGACATCATCGTTTAACTCATCAGGTGCAACGATTTAAGGCGGAGGGGGGGGGTTATTGTAATGATATACTAGATGTTGAATCAATGGGTGCTGACAGTGCTTGTTGCGTTTAGATCCCTCAAACGCCGCTCGCTGGACGGTGTGGTGAAGTATGGTGAAAGTGTGGGCGAATAGCCCCCCCCCACCACCTTATGACCAGCACTTGCGTGGCAAGATCGCACTCATCCAACAGTGGAGTGACAGAAATGGTGCCTGTTGTTTATAAGTCTTGAGTGTGGCATCAAGATGACGTCTGCAACGTCATGTGCTGTCGTGTTCAGGCAGTTTAGTTAAAGCCTAAGCATTGCCATCTACAGCCATTAGCACACTGGGGACCCTACAGCTGGAGTGGGTTATAGTGTCACAAGACTGTAGAACAGACTTGCTTATAGAACAGACTTAGCGATAGACAAGTTGCACAGTATTCTTGGTTCTTTCGGTAAAGTCACGTAGAAGGGAAATAAAATTATAATAAAATAAACATATAAAACAATAAAATTCTGACGACGTTTCGACTGCAACACAAGCAATCATCAGGTGTGAAATCTTGCTGTGTTATTCCCTACAGCCTTAAGTACAGCGGAAAGTACAGTAGAAGCACGCTGTTGCCCAGAATGAGGATGCTCTTGCATAATAATTGGAGCACTTTGCCATACCTGTCAACCCCTTATCGGTGCCTTGCCTTATTACAGACCAATTCAGACCTTATTGGTAACCAAGTGACCATAGACATCTCAAAGTTCATTCTACAAAGTCCCATCACAAGGGAGATACCATCAAATATACAAAAACATTGTTTTGCCCGTATTGAAACGGCTATACGCCGCGTGGACGTGAAAACTCAATTTCCCTGTACAAGAATACGGGGTGAACCGCATGAGTTGACAGGTTTGCTTTGGCCCCATTTACACAATCTGCATGCGATATAATTTACAGTCTAAGCGCATCCTGAGCGTCCTACTAACTACAAAAACCCAGAAGCGAGGTGTTCACTACAACGGGAGCAGCATCCCTGATGCCCATATAATGTGCGTGTACAATGTGCTGGCGTTACGTCGTCATCACGGTTGTTTTGAGCCCCTAACGTGATTTTTCTCTGTTCCTTACAGCCTAAGGAAGCTGTTTCCCGTCACCAGAGGGCAACGTGTGTTGCCACAACTATTGCTTGGCGAACCCTGTTCGCTGAACAGTTTATTGTTAACAGTCTTGAGCGCCGTGGTATCTACATCCTGGACATAATGATCATAATTTACACTTCTAAAATAACCTTTTGACCCTGGAGGTCGCAAGGTGCTGTATACATCTAAAAACAATTAAATGTATTTAGGAAAAACACCGTAAAAACACTAATAAAATCGCACTGGCTTGTAATAAAACACCTCACTTACTAAAACCCCGTAGATCATAAATATTAAGGAGGTGAAGAGAGAGGCCTTCGACAACTGAGGTGGGATTTGAATAAGCCGAGAGACTGGCGAAAAAGGGCCCCGGTCACCCATCGAACGGAAGTTTTGATCTCGGCACGCACCGCAGCAGGTCGGGACCGGAAGACGACCGGAGGACTCTTTCTGGAACGTAGGAGTGAGAGTCACGAATATATACGATGGAGTGCCATCATTGAAGGCCTTCTAAGCAAGGAGGACAGTGTTTCCTATATACGGCACTGAGCATGGGTTATTATTTTATTTACAGATTGGATTTGTTTCTGTGTTGCTGCACTTAACCTCATACCTGTGCCCAAGCTTATTACAGACCAATTCACACCTTACTGGTCATCCCGTGCCCTTATAAATCTCAACGTGCATCCTATAAAGTCCCATCACAAGTGAGAAATACAAACAAATAGATAAAACACATTTTTTCCCCCCGTATTGAAACGGCTGTATGCCGTATGAACACGAAAACTAAATTTCCCTGTACAAGAATATGGGGTGAAACCGTTTCCTATAACCTACATTTTTCCCTTTTTTAGTCTAAGCAGCTGACAATCTGATAATTATTTAGCCGACAAACTGAGTGTGCTGTTCCTGTAGTCTTGACGATGCTGTTCCATGCAGGCTGATCATATTGTTGCATACATCTTGCCGTTGCCTATAGGGGTCGAACAGGGGCAAACTGTCCAGGAATTGCCTAGAGTCTACCATTGCCTGCAGGGATGGAGCAGTGGTACAGTTGTTAGCACACTGCGCTGTGAATCCTGCAACTTTATATTGATTCCTGGCTATGGCTAACATCTGAACCGGTCTTGAGCTGCCCTTCTACTGCATCAACTTAAAATTGGCCAGTGTGGTTATTAAGTCTGGTCAAACAGCCTCCGTGACCAACACAGCATGGAGAGAGGCCTTCTTCATCAAGCAGTGGTTTGATATAGGGCTGAATATATATGTGGAGCATTAACTAGAGTCTGTACGTGCTATAGTCTGAGGATGATGGTGCTGAACCAGAGCAGTCTGTTTTCTCCCAATCCTGGCCATGCTGTTCTCTGTAGTTTGAGTACTTTGTTCTCTACAACCAGAGGATGCCATTATCTCTACTTTTAAACGAGTCCCCTTGTGTCTGTAGAATACTGTTATCTACAGCCTGAGCACTTGCTTCTGCAAAGCCTGAACATGCTTTTCTCCCCAGCCAGAGGCGCAGTGTTCCCTTCAGCCTGTTTTGTCAGCCGATTCTCTCTTATCGGGATCCACTTTTGCCATTCCATGCACCTTGTATTTCATGCACCCGCTGTGTCCAGGGCCGGATTAATCCTCTTGTAGGCCCTAGGCACTTCTGTTTCGTAGGCCTCCAGTGACAACTCTCTGCAGTTGATACTGCTGCCCCATGTCACTAGTACCGCCGCGGTCACTCCACTTGTTTCACGCGGTACTTTGTCCAGCTGCTGGACAGATGTCGCTACTGATATGTGCATTATTTAGTATGAGCCTTAATTCGATGGGAGTGCGCTGTGTGCTGCAGATAAGCAGATTTAATTTGAAATAATTTTTAAAAACAGGTTAAGCCTAAAAATATTTTAAGTGAAAATGTCTTCTATTTTAATGTGATTATAGCAGATGATCTGACAGGATGACTGCATGGCGAGCTCCATATTACTTTACGTTCGTTTAAGCTTAAGGATTAGTTTGACAGTTATTTTAGGTGTAATATGGCTCGCAACAAGTCCAACGACTTGTTACCACAGCAAAGAGATTGCAACTTGCGGCCATGAATATATTTATTAAAGAAGATATATTTTTTACATTTTTTATCATACATACAAAAAACACGTCAAATTTTGTTTTTGTAAGCCCTTCAGTTTTTGTAGGCCCGAGGCATAGTGCCTGCTGTGCCTATTGGATAATACGAACCTGGCTGTGTCACTCCTGGACTTGTACCCTATTGCTTGTCATCTCCACTCTGAGCCACATTAATCTTGTTCTACATGTTTTCCTCCTGCTCCTGGTGCTCAGCAGAGGTCGCAAACGGGTTTTGATTCCTTACCCGTACCCGGCCGCACCAGGGTCGAAAACGGGTACCCGTACCCTACCCGATACCCGGCTACCCGTACCCGGCCGGCTATCGGGTAGGGTACGGGTATCCGATTGCGACCTCTGGGATGAAGCCATGTTGCAGGCGCGGGTGGGTTGATTTTAGGAACTTGAATTGTGAGAAGAGACAAGACGTTGGGAAATGAGTGACAAACGGTTACTCACCAGTGACTCACGGCCTACCCGTACCCAGCCGCACCAGGGTCGCAAACGGGTACCCGTACCCGGCCGGGTACGGGTAGCCGGGTATCGGGTAGGGTACGGGTATCGGGTACCCGGTTGCGACCTCTGGTGCTCAGGTTATCACTTGAAGTCACAGTGGAAGGGTTTGAGCAATTAAATGGCAAATACTGATTGAGTTGAATTTGTTTACCGAGGCTCAGCTGTAAAGGAGACTTGCGTGTGTGCCGCTCTTGTGTTTCAGATCTGGAGGCCCATCACAGCAACACTCTTCTTCCCACTGACACCGCAGACGGGATTCCACTTTCTCATTCACCTCTACTTCCTGTACTCCTATTCCACACGCCTCGAGACTGGTGAGGATCTTCGTTTAAGGGCAACTGGCTCACGAATAATGTTACAGAACGCGGTACAAAATATGCCTGGCTGGAAAATGCATTATACAAAGGTAAAGCTGGGTAGAAAATTCTGCAGATACGCTTGTCAACATTGAATGCTGATCATGTTTTTCCTAAAATATTACAATTCTGGGGAGCACACTTATGGATTGAAAGAAGGGACTGTAAGTAAATTAATTAATAGTTACATATGAAGTTGTTAACATGATAACTGAACTAAGCCATGATAGATGAAACTTTATGTAATTGATTTAAACTGATTCACATATGTGTCTCTTGTAAAGCTACTTGATTTAGACATGACAGGGTGTCTCAGAGGATCAGAGCACTGAGCCTGCACCTATGAGATCCTGGGTTCAAATTCAGGCAGCTATCTTACTTTAAACTGGTTCTCAAATGTAATGAGGTGATGTCTTAGGTTGGTCACCAAGGACTTCACTAAAGCCATCAACATAAATTTGCTATATTCTAGCGCAGAGAATGATAAACAGTCGTTTGACTCTGAAACGTCAAACATTGCTCTCTGTAGCAGGGCTGGTGAAAAAGCAGTGCCCACTTCTTTGTGGACCAGAGTTAACACGAAGGGATCTCGAGGTCGCTGGGATATCCACTTGTGTTGATGATTTTTTTAAATGAAGGGTTGCCACACTGCGAGAGATTTAAATTAATACTTTGTCTCATTCTATGATGCCGATATCACCATCCAGATAAACTATTCAGAAAAAGGTTAAACTAAATAAGTAATGCACAAATCGTACAGGACACGGTGCGCATGTTGCTGAACAATTTATGAGCTCTGTGCCTGATAGTGGAGCGTGGATGAATTCATGTTTTAAGAGGTACATTTGAGCGTAGCTTTGAGTGAAAAAATCATTGTGACGGTAACCTTTACTGGAGTGATCTTGTATATTTTATGTTTAGAAAATGTGTTTTTTTTTCCCACAGGTGTTTTTGATGGACGGCCAGCAGACTACCTGTTTCTGGTTCTCTTCAACTGGATCTGTATCACTGTATCCTTTGTTGCGTGCTCATCTATTTGAATCATGATTTTTGGGTGAATTTTTACCAATTAATAGGTTTCTGTTTGGTAGCTTAGTACGGGTGACTCCACAAAGGACTTGGCACTTTTTTGGTTCGTGAACATTTCATGTTGCCTATGGGAAAATTTCGCTGAATTGCTCAGCTCATCAACTTTCAGAAGATACAATGAGTTGAGCGTAGTCCATACTTGGATGAGAGACTGTCTGGGAATGCCAGGTGTTCTTGACGAGCTGTGATGGCAAAGCGATGGATTCTTGAATCCCTTTGTGTGGCGCTTTGAGTGGTAACTGCTTGTATGATTGAATTTGTTTTATAAGTACGCTGGTTTACTCCCACATGCATTATTCTCATAAATGGATTAGGTCAAACATCTTAATGTAGCAGGACCCTCAAAAAGAATATTAAGGAGATATGGCTTTCTTGGATAAATAAAATAATGTCATAGTAATTGTTAAATTTCAGGAAGCACTCTGTTTGTTAATCACACCTTGACTATGTTGCCAGATTGTTGGGCTTATCGTCGACATGCCAGTAAGTATTTGTGCTCAATAAATGTGTTTCATATATTCTTGGTTCTTTCGGTAAAGTCACGTACAAGGGAAATAATAAGATAATAAGAATAAAACAATAAAATTGTATTGGATATGAATCCCTGCAGTCAAGAAAGCTTTAAATGGAAGTGTTTCATATAGTTAAAAGACAAGAATCGAATTCAACAAAATGTGATAGTTTACCCCTAGGGAATATTTATTCCTCAGTTTACTTGTTTTCAGGAAAAGCAGATATCCTCTTCATTTCATTTTGAATTCACTCTGCATGAGTTTACAATACGTTAATTTAGGTTTGTTTCAAACCACAAGCGGTAATTAACATGACGCATCCCTGCTGTGTTCTCATTTCGTAGAGTTTAATTTGAAATTGGGTAAAAATTACATCTTGATTAAGGTTCCTGACTCACGACACTTTGAAAGTGTTTATTCGGCTTGCAGTGAATATTCTCACGTGGGGGTTAACAGCTTGGGAAAATGATTTGCAATTGGTGCTTAAATGGAACTTCATCATAAAGCACTTCTGATAATGCATATCAAGTAAAACAGTTATCAACAGGATGATGGTGAGAAATGAGATTTGACCAAAGAGCAATGGAGACTTCAAAGGGAACAACAACAACCTCGTGCACTATTCACAGAAGCGCTAGAACCACGTGCAGCCAAAAACACCAAAGAATCCCCAGGAAAAGTCCAGTACACAATGGAGATCAAGAAGTCGGTCCCAGTCTACATCGCAAAGTAAACTGTCCCACCACCAGCCACAGTCAACCCAGTCATTCCACCCATCCCATTTCGTCTTGCAGATTTCAAAAAGTCCCCGCGCATCGTCATAGCACGGCCACGGTGGTTCGTAAATAAATCCAGGCGCCAACAAAGCATGGTCCCAGTGAGCATTAAGAAAGTCACGGCATCACTACCCTAGACCACAGAACGGTGGCAAGGAGGGGCAGAGAGGTGAAAGGGAACATCGGGCAGAGAGGGTAAGAGCCTAAGGCAAGGAAACAAAATAACAAAGGGGTAAAAGGGAAAGACTTTGGACTAAGCAATGGTATATTTCAAGGATTCACAAACTTCCACTGCACAAAATTTAACAGGATCAAGACAGCAGGTGTGCCCACAAACCTGTCCTTCACATCTCAGGTTTATGGTTTATAGCTTTTGACAAATACTGTAATGGTGGGAATTTTTGGGGCTGACTTTGTGTGCTGCTGCTCTCTGGGTGTCCAGCTGCTGATGATCCCGCTCATCATCTCGGTGCTCTACGTATGGGCCCAACTGAATCGTGACCAGATCGTCACCTTTTGGTTTGGCACCACCTTTAAAGTAAGCAACATCACAGAAGGCATTCTGTCTGTGTCCAAACTGCATTTTTCGCACCTTGTTGAAGGCAAGGGAAATTAGTTTGGGGGTGGGGGGGTGGGGTATGCGCACAGGTACAGATATGGATGCTTTATGTTCACGTTTTTATTTAAAATCTACAGGAATTCCTCATTTAACGCGGTAGATGTCTTCTAGAAAAGTTCCGTGTGAAGTGAAAATGATTTCCCAATAATAAATAATTTAAAAGGTGGGGGTAATTACTTTTTAAACAAGCGATGTGTGGGAGGAAGAGGGGGGGAGAGGGTGTATAGAGATATGTCACAATTATTACTCTTATGAAAATAAAAACTACGAATGAAAAAATGTCACTTACCCAGAAATTCCACATCGCTCGGCCGTGCAGTTCGGAAAGCAGCTTGTCATCGACCGCTCAGAAACTGCGGTTGAACGGGTGCGTTCCTTGTTCCACGAATAGTGTTTCTGAATAGAAAAACAGTGTTCTAGCGAGAAAATGCGTTGTGTGAAAGCGCGTGAAGCGAGGACTTACTGTTGTTGTCGCCCCGTTTTGTTTCCTAACTTTTCAGGCCTGCTACCTTCCCTGGGTCATCATGGGCTTCAACTTCATCCTGCGTGGATCGTGAGTACTTTCGGTCTTGGTGGAAAAAACAAATGCAAGCCTCTACGTCTCGCAGCTGCTCGCAGAGCCAAAGCAGATCACGGACCACAGACTCCGTTGTAAAAATCAATGTCGGTAGCCTAATTCATTCGTCTGTACTTTAAAGATCGCATGCTGGTAGCTGCCAACAAGATTAATAAATTAGTTAATTAATGGTTTAACCGCAGTTTATGTAAAAATTCAAGCCCGAAGTGTACATTCGAAAGCCAAGAAAGAAGGTTATAGATTATGGATGTTGTTTAATAAAGTAGGGTGGGTGCCGGTTGCTTCCAGATATATCTGCGGTGATGCAGCCTTCCCCACTGTTTGTGCCGCCCTCCTGTCCCCTAGGGTGATGAATGAGCTAATCGGGATCTTCGTGGGCCACCTCTACTTCTTCCTCATGTTCAAGTACCCCCAGGACTTTGGTGGGCGAGCGCTCATCTCCACCCCATCCATACTGTAAGTGGCTTTGCACAACCTGTTTCACATTTTCTTGGTTCTTTCGGTAAAGTCACGTAGAAGGGAAATAATAAAAATAAAACATAATAAAATAATTCTCACGACGTATCGGCCACAACGCAAGCAGCCGTCCTCAGGTGAAGACCAGGTCTGTCAGGGAAACACCACCACGCTTGGGGCGTAGTGGTGTTTCATTCAGACGCTGCTTGCGTTGTGGCCGAAACGTCGTGAGAATAATTTTATTATGTTTTATTTTTATTATTTTATTATTTCCCTTCTACGTGACTTTACCGAAAGAAACAAAAATATTAATCCCTGCAGTCACGAAAGCTTTAAATCGAAATGATTCACATTGTTTGTGACTTGAAATCTGTTCACTGTTATATATTTTGTTATCAGTTTCTGAGCAGAGCCCCAAGATGCCAAATGTCCTGCAACAAACAGTACATCTGAGCTATAGTCTGACAGTCATTAGTTCTACTTCGATGGGTTGCATTTATTTCACTACACCGGTCAATGTCGGATGGTGAAGATGGGAGCATAGATATAGGAGCACAGAAGTGTAGGACAACAATAGATTGTCTACACTGCCCATTGCTGAACACTGTATAGCCGAACGGCCTATAAGGCATGTCCGTCATGATGAACACCAATCCAAGCACTATTTTATGCTCAACCATGCTTAGCTTCTGAGCAGGGTTAGCTAATGGCAAATTGAAATCTCTGGCATACCTTAACGTTTCTTTAATACACTTGGCCGTGTGCACGTATGTCGATGTGTACATTCAGGTACCGGCTCTTGCCGAGTCGCCGTGGCGGCATTGCCGGCTTTGGCGTTCCTCCGCCCAGCAGGAGACCACCAGACGACCAGGATGCCCCCCCGCAGGGAGGCTGGGGAGCATTTGGCCGTCACCGATGGGGGGGTGGCCAGAGGCTGGGTGGGGACTAAAGGCTGCTACTGCTGCGTAGATGTTCGCAGTTGTGCTGTGTACAGCTTTTCGATGTGTATTCGGGTTGATCCACGGTATTGTTCAGCGTGATGTTTGGATGTCACGATGATTGGGTTACAACCCGAAAACTCATCTGAGAGCCCAGGGCTGTTGTCGGCGACCGAGTGTACCCATGTGCGCGTGCGTGTGTGCCTCCTCGGGCGTTTGCATGGCTGCACGAGCGTCTGGCCCCTGCTTGCACAGACAACAGCGACGCAAAAGAGAACTGGTCCATCCGGAGCACGTGACTTTAGCTGTCGCACCACTCGTGAACCTGTTCGGTTGTGCCACCTGTCATCACGGGATGTAAACTGTTGGGCCTTGTGCAAAACATGGGCTCTGTGCATATGCCTGCATCTGTGCGCGTGCATGAGGGCGCGTGCATGAGTGCAGGCATGGTAATTTGGCGAGCCTTCTCGTTCATGGCATAAGACACAATTTTTCTTCGTTTTTATTATTGTACATTAATGTAACGTTCATGAAAAAAAGTGATCCTAGTGTAAAAAGTAAAACGATATTTAAGTCTTACTTCCTGGATTTATTTTAAATAATGCTCATAAAAAGATGTGCAGTCACACATTGATACAAGAAACATTAACAAGGAACAACATATGGGCTTATTTCTATTGCTTTGAAATCGCCAATAAACACGTTGAGCTAAAAGCCTCCTTTTAATTGTGTAGTGCGTACGTGCAGCTTAGGTTGGAAAGTTATTTCGGTTTGATCGTTGGGTTTAAAATACAATGCCTAGAAAGTTTTGTGATTTAACGGTGAAAATATCTGTGAAATGTCCAGTAGGTTTTTCAAAATAACTGAGAAGCAATTTGGTTGTTCCCTATGTTAAGGTTGACTTTTCGCTGAGAATATCTCCTTTAGTGTCTTATCACAGTACTTGCGTGCTGTTTGGATGGCTTATATAAAAATAATGCTTTAATAAGCACCAAAATCATTTGCAAGAATACAAGAAAGTTGAATTTTTTTGGAAATTCATGTGGCTTTTATTTTCACGGCTGTTATAGTCATGCATGTTATTACCGTTTCTTTTATTTCAGCTTACTTACTGACAAGCATAAACTTGTGAAGGATGAAAAACATGAAATTGAAATGAATTGTATTAAGCTAGGTCAACCACATGGGTCTGTTTATTTATTTTAAGATTACTGGACATCATAGTTATTGGCCAATCTAGGTTCCCCTGGCACATGAGTTAGGATAGGATTTGTGGCATGAATTAATGTCATATCCACGTGTACCTTAATTGTCACAGTTACAATTTCTGGTGGTTGGCTCTTGTGTGCACTTTTCCATGTTTTCAGCAGGTCCTTGTCCGTCGGATGTCACTGCTAATTGAATGTTGCGGCTATCCTGGTAAATTAATTAGCATTAGCTCATTCATCTCATAACCATGATTCCATGAGAAAAAAAGTAACATTTCGGGTCCAATCCGTAACACAGGGTGTTGAAAGACTTCTGTTTTGAAATGGAACATTCTCACGACTTGACTGCACAATTGGAATATAATTTGGAGAAAGATTGCAACATGCTCTAGAAAACATTCATAACTGACCCTATCACCTTCATCGTTAACACTGAGTAATGGCAGCCTGCCATATATTTTTTACACGTTACGGCAGTGTTAATGATGTACGTGTTAGTCCATCCGTCCATACTTCACATGTGTTTTTATGACTTGTGAAAAATGCACAGGTAATCCGAATCCTTTGATACTAGCCACACATGCCAAATACTATTTCTCAGTATGGTCTTAGTTTTTGGATAAAGTCCACATCAAAATCCTTAAAAAATTCGTTATTGTACAAAAAAAGTTATTCTCATGTACCATGTGCAAAATACCACGTGCATTAGAACGTGTACGCATTAGGTGTGTAACGGTGCGTCAATTCGTCTATTAAAATCGATTCTTGGTCTCCTGGTACACGCATTGAATTGTGTAAGAACCGATTATTATTTGTGTGTTTTATGTCATTACTAGAGACACCACATTCACCACTTTGAATTCAATTTACAAAAAGTTTAACACGTATGCTTTCGCGACCAATATCCATATGGGTCTCCCCACATTTTTTTTATAACCACTTACCATGGCCTACACACGGCGCCCACCCCTAACCCCCTGCAGCATAACAAAAGGAGGCTTAACTTAACCCTCCCCCACGGCCCATCCTGGCTCCTCCCTCCCTTAATCTGTATATAGACTCGTGTCTTATAGTTCTCTCCACTTGATACAGTATTTTTTGCTGTGACGGTGCCACCTGAAGACGGAAGCTTGTGTTGCCTCCGAAACGTCGTGATTTAATTAATTTTTTTACCTATGTGACTACCGGAAAAAACAAAATATGGACCCTTGCAGTCACAACAACTTCAAATCTAAAAATATCCAGAGGTTTTTTTAGGTTAGATTTAACCATAAAAACTCTGAATTTACGTAAAGTCGAATTCACTTGTCTAGTATGCACTGGTATGAAATGTGTGCCTCACATCCCCGTATGTGAATTTCCTTACGCAATTTTCTACTTTTGAATCTGCGAGAGAAAAAAACACAGGCTCTCAATGGACTGCTTGGCTTTGCTCGCTTTTGTTGAAGTAAAATGCTGATGAAGTCCATGTTTTTTTAGGGTCGCCCTTACAAAATACTTTAGTGGGCTGTCGGGTAGTTCAATAAAGTGGAGTGAAAGCACGGTTTTAAAAAAAAGTAGACGCAGAAATATCAAGGCAATGTTTATTTAATGTATTGTAGCTGTTGCCAGAAAACGGATAAATAAGTAATTTGGGGTGCAAGTACCTGCTTTTTCACATGCATTATTATGAAGTGGAGAACATCATTTATTTATCCGTGAGAGCCCCAAGACCATTTCTGGAGCCATCCTGGTTTTGGGATGTTAGCCCATTACATTTTTAAAGAGTATGTATATTTTACATGTGATAAACCAGAGTATGCAGACAAAACCTACCATGCATACGTGGGGATGACACTAAGGGCTACACGGGTTTTATTCACGAACCCTGGATTTTGTACGACCATCTGTCCGGTTTGCTTCGGGAGTTTCACAAATATGCATCCTCTTCCAAAATGCTGCATCCACATTGGATGTGCCACCACGCCTGGTTATTCAATAGTTGATGTGGTTGGGTTGGCGTGGTCCCAGTAACCTCGCATTGGTGATGTATCCCACCTCCGATCAGCACGGTGGGCTACGTAACACGCGAAATAAGTTCAACATACCCCTGTGGGCACACGGGACCCGCTCTTGTGACCATGCATAGCCGGTAGCGACTGCAGTGGGGGTCATGACCACGAGATGCCCCCATGGTGCATAGCTCCTTAAGCGCCACTTGTTCAATGATTGATGACGTTGATTACCCTTTCCACAGTAGCCCCAGTAAGTTGGGCATCGTTTAGTCTGCGCCTTGCCTTTAATTATGTATACCTTCCTATTTTATTTCCATCTTAGTGCGGCCGATGTCTCCGCAAACTGCCGGCAGCTTAGCGGCGGGCGGGATGTTCATTTAGTTTTCTTTGTGGAGTGCAGTCGGTGTGTTTTTGAGAATTGCTGATTATGCTGCAAAGGCAGGTTGCAGGTAGGAGCTGTGGTGTATTTATTTCTGTAATAAGGCCAATTGCAGCTAAATAAAAATTAACCCGTAAAAACAAAGTTTTTCACTATAAATCCTTTATATGCGTGGCATCGGGGCGGCTAGAGTCCTCTCGTCCTCTGGCTTGAGATGGCTGCCACCTATGGGTCAGATGATTGTCTGGCAGCATTAAACAATTGGTAATTAAATATTTTTAAAAAATTCCCTAACAGTAACATTTTGGAGAATTTTTTCACGAAAATGCATTGTCACGCACAACGAGTCTTGTGTGCAAAATGTCAGCTCGATTGGATCACGGAAAGTGGGTTAAAAAACGACCGAAAGATTTGCACGGTCCTAAGCAAGCAAGCGAACTTAATATAAAGAATTTAAAAAGGGGGATGCGTATCATTGTACGAGTCGACCCAACCTGCGTATAATTGGGAAGTGTTCCGTTACAGCTTCGACTTCCGTCGTGATGGGTAAAGCCACTTCCTCTGCAGAGAGGTGAAATCGGGTCACATAAAAGTGGCCACTTCAGACAAGTTGATTCCCATCGTAGGCGCGGTTTGTGCATAAAAGACGGTGGCATGTGTGGGCAGCTCTTTGCCAGTCCATTGCTGGTGAGGTCCCCCATCCTGTGCTGATCGTCGGGGCTGTTTGACTATACTTCGCACTTTCACTCTGGTTCGCCTGCGTTAATGAAGGCAGGGTGCCCAGACAATAGTGCAACGATTGATTCTTGTGCACTGTCCCTCTGCTGAACAACGTAGCCCCGCATCAGCCGACAAACACATGATTATATGCATGGCAATCGCCCATCCAAGCACTCTGCGGGGTAAGAACCGATTTAGCTTGTGAGTTGATTTAGTCATAGGCGTATACACGTGGTATACTAGCCTGCACCACCCCCCCTCTCTTTAATATTTTAATTAGCGTGAAAGCAATTGGGATAGATATACCAATCAGGAATGCGCGTTAAATTCGGTGATCCGTGACACCTGATTTTCTAAAAGGGCAAACTGCATGGGAGGCAGAAACGCACGGAACGTGCAAAGGGTGAGAGGGTGAGAGGGTGGTTGTGGCCCGTGATACGACGCGGAACATTCGACGAGGCGATGACCTGACAATTAAAGAATCGATATTTTTTTAGGGGGGGGGGGGTGTAAGTTAATATTGATGGTGTTTCCTTACCGTAAATCCTGTAGTAGGCACTCACTCGAGTTGCGTGCGTTCATAGAATATACGGATGTGATCGATTGTTTAATCTATTAACAAGGATACGTAACCTTTCTCACAAAACGTTACGTAATTATGCGCGCGCGCATGTAGGAATTGATCATTTTATTCCAATATGTTCCAGTTTGGATGCTTTTGATGGTGTAATAGTGAGCACATACCAAGGCCGTAGCCATGGAGTCAACATTGGGGGGGACCAAATCTTCCAGGGGGTCTGGGGGTCCCCCCTAAGAAAAAAAAAAAATCTAAATTTGAAAACGAATTTCCTGCCTAAAATATTAAAAAAATTCACTAACATATGGGATGAACTTTAAAAAATATATTTTTTGCAATAATGTCTAATAGTGTATTGCATTTCATTGCTGTTTTTGTTATTTTTTACCTTGTTTCATTGTATGTAATGGCAGAGATTCGGGATTAATAAAGTACAACCATAACCACAATCATATAAACATAAATCTATTTTATAGCAATATATTGGGGGGGGGGGGACATTTTGAGCATATTTGAATATTGGGGGGGGGGGGGGGGGGGGTGTCCCCCCCCCCCCCCAATATATATTGTAATTACGGCCTTGGCACATACAATCCAGAGGTAGTGTGTCAATTTAAACAATGGGCACTTTTCTTATCCAAACTGGACGAACCCGGCGACCCGAGTTCGATTCCCGCTCGCGGCCACCAACACCCGGTGACGATTATCTGCACCGGTCCTGAGCCTCAAATGAGTGCCTGGTTCGGTGCGTAGACACCGCCACGGGCGTGGTGCTGGCCACCCACCCCCTCGTGTGCCGTGCCGGCCTTCATAGGTGCTGCTCGCTAACAGCACTTGCCCCAGCAGTCTGTTAAGACTATACGGGGGAAATCTTTGTCTTTGTCCTCCCACCTCTTCCCAAGCGTCCGATCAGCGTGTCAGAGTTGGATAACTAGAGCGCTTCTAGATCCCCCTCTAGTGGAGTCCCTTCTGCCAGCAGTGGCGTGAGCAAGCCAATGCAGGGCTGCACCTTAACCTTCTTATTAACTTTGTTGTTTGCAATGGCATGGACACTCGAGGCCTGTACTATCACCATAATGTTACACTGTTAGTGGAGTCATTACTGTGCCCATTTGCGACAGGTGCCAATTATTACACCTTTAGTGAAAGGTACATTTTTAGATTGTCAACCAAAATTCAATCATAAATTTAACCATAACTTACAAATACAGTAATTAACAGACGTTTAAATATATTTATCACAATTATACTGGTTTTGGTGAAAAATAATGTGTCGACATGCAACCGTCTGCTTAATTAATGTAGTCTTTATTGAATGTACGGGAAGAGTGAGCACTTATTTGCATTGTAAATCCTGGAAAATCAAGAATAACGGTGATTAATGATGAAACTGTCAAACCGAGCACGCTTAATTATTTAATCGCTTGGCTACCGCGTGGGCGTGTTAAGTTATTTGTAAAAGCCACTGGTGGTTGCTCTGCTCCTCGTCTTCATAAAAGGTGGGTTTCTTGAACTCTGATGGAACGCCATCCAACAACATTAACAGAGCACGTCCGACACCCCGCGGTGCAACGAGTTGCAACCACGGGGCTTCGCGCGGGAATTCCTGTCACTTTGATTAAACGGGAATTCTAGTGCAAAATAAATACATAATTGGGTTAAAAGTGTGCATCTGCTGTCTTGGAGTGAGTGGGGATTGTTATTATTTTCTGCGCGCGAAGTCGTAACGGCGTGCCAGTCCTCGTGTGTTTTTAAATGCTCGGTGAAATCCTAAAATTGTATCCACTACAACCGTAGCGTCATCTTCAGCTGTGGTCTATCCACTGCTTGACGCAGGTCTCTCTGAGCCGTCGTCAAATGTCACGATGCTACAACCCGCCTGGCTCCTGCACACGAGGCGATTTCAAAACTCCGTCTACGCGGTATCGCATCCCGTTGGATCGTGTGACCTCTTTCGGTTGCCACTCCGCCTCTGGTCCACCCTTGCACATCACCGCACGTATGTGTATGTGTGTGTGTTGAACTTCTTTCGCACCGTACGTAGCCAACCCTGCTAATATATACTGCACAAACTCGTTACGCACCCCGACTTTGGGTCATTATGGCTAACATCATATATGATCAGAATTCCGTTCTGTGTCTTCACATTTCCATAATACAATACAAGATCATTGTATCAATCGTAGAGGGTTATGGGTTAGATCGCGTCAATATAAATGCGTCGTTAAACCCGCAACCACCCGACACAGCCAATTAGTAAGGTTTGTCACGTAAATAAAACATGCTACATCGTTACGAGTACAGCACACCGGTGTGTTGATGAGTAAACTCACAACATTTACAATTCGAGTGCAACGTTTCGCCAGTAATTACAACTAGCTTCACCAGGCGACAGCCAGATGATATTAGACCATCAGTCGATTGTCTATCAAGACCAGTTTTATCAAGCAACATTTGTGTCAAGCAAGAAATCTCTGGACCAGTTTCAACATTATGGATCTCACCAGAAGAGTCGAGTTTGTTGCACAGCCTGTTAAACTCTGGGGAACTGTTACTGTATTTAAATGCGAGGACAGGATGGAGTTCTGCAAACGCATGGCTTAAACCGTACACGCACAGCGTATTGCCAGGCGCGCGTGCATCAGTCCATGTGACTCTTTAGTTTCTGGCAGGCCAAAGTCGACTCGTTAACGAGGAGGCCGCGGTGACCCGTGACACGTTCACAGAGCATCGTGTGGCGAGGCGCATATTTTACCCGCGCGCGATCGCATGCCGTGTCAACCCACGCGGTTTGACCCCGAATTCTTGTCCAGGGAAATTGAGTTTTCAAGTCCATACGGCGTACAGCCGTTTCAATACGAGCAACAATTAAATAGTCTGTTTGATTGTGTTTCTCAGTTGTGATGGGACTTTGTGGGATGAACGTTGAGATTTATAAGAGGCACGGGAGGTGACCAATAAGGTCTGAGTTGGTCCGTAATAAGTTAGGCACCGATAAGGGGTTGACAGGTATGAGATCGTCCGTTGACACATCACACACCCGGGAGGAGCGGTCCAGCATTTTCTTCAACGCTTTCCAACTTGAGAACGAGGGCCTTCTGTGTCTGTTTCGTTGCGAGGAGAGGAAGGGAGTCGCCCTAACTCGTAAATCCGCGAGCCAATATCGGAGAAATATTCGTACAACGTTACGTGCCTCTTCTGAACTGTACCCTAAAAAGTTGCCCAACATTTTCGATACAAACCAGCACAAAGGAAATGTTTTCCAGACACTCACCAATAGCCGTCAGCCAATTATCAATGCCCGACCTTATCACAAACCAATTCAGACCTTATTGGTCACCGCGTGCCCCTTATACATCACAACATTCATCCTACAAAGTCCCATCACAAGAGAGAAACACAAACAAATAGACAATTTTTTTTTTTTGCCCGTATTGAAACGGCTGTACGCCGTACGGACCTGAACAATCACGTGGGTTGACAGGTATGGTCAACCGTCGGCTCCTGTACTGCTAACCAAATACTGCCCTGTATCTACAAAGACAACCAACAACACGTGTTGGAAAACGCGACAAGAGAGGGCGCCACGGTGGCAAGGGAGATGTTAACTACCTCGCCTGGTGTACAAGGAGGCCGTGGGTTCGATCCCGACCCTAACGCATGTATATTTGGAGTGTGAATGTTCTCCCGGTGGTCGCGTAAGATTTGTATTTTCCGGGTCTTCCGGTTTTCCCTCCACAGTTGGAAGCATACGTTTATCGAGTACAGTATTTGGCCGCTGTAAATGTCCACATGATAAGCCACTTACTGGAGTTGAGCAATCATTTGTGGCCAGCTGGCTTCCGGAAGAAGAACTATATAGCTCAGTGGGCCTTACCTGGTAAACGTAATAAAAAAGTTTCATTTAGACATCCATTGGGGCCGTCCATAAATGACGTCACGCACCTGGGGGGGGGGGTCAGACATTTGTGACGATGTGTGACGAGGGGGGGGGGGGTTGAGAAATGTGACGTCACGTAAAAATGCGCAACTTTAAATAAATATAGACAACACGTTCTACTAAATTAAATAGACTTTTTAATACATTTTTCTCCTACAACATCAGAGTGCAGCGCCACATTAAATACGCACTACAATGACAATAGTTTAAAGCGATTTGAAGCATGTTTTTTTTTGGGGGGGGGGGCAGAGCTTTGTGACGTCATATTTGAGGGGTCGGGGTCTGACTTTTTGTGACGCCGTGTGACGAAGGGGAGGGGGGGTCAAAAATCGTCCAAAATCGCGTGACGTCATTTATGGACGGCCCCATATGTGTGCATTCTTTTTTTATGACTTGTTTGGAAGTGGACTTACCGGTGAGACACGTGCTCTGTTATCGTTTTACGACGCGTTAATCATTACCGTCCGTGTACAACTCCCAGGTGAGCGCCGTGCGAACTGCGCAGTAGGCGAAGTCGCCTCTCGAACGGAAATGTTCTTACCCCGTACACACACAGAGAGAGAGAGAGAGGGGAGGGGCACATTGAACTTCTTTCACACCATTATGAGGCCTCCTTTGCCAGTAGCAAGATATAGTAATAATGTTGTGGTTTCACGCTTCAACACACCGGGTGGGCTAAAGCAGTGAACTATTTGTCTTTTCTTCTTCTTGGTTCTTTCGTAAAGTCACGTAGAATGGAAATAATAAAATAATAAAAATAAAACATTAAATCATTCTCACGACGTTTCGGGCACAACGCAAGCAGCCGTCCTCAGGTGGAGAACAGGTCTGTCTTCTGAGACAGAGTCTGACTCTGTCTCCTGAGGACGGCTGCTTGCGTTGTGTCAGAAACGTCGTGAGAATTATTTTATTATGTTTTATTTTTATTATTTTATTATTTCCATTCTACGGTACTTTACCGAAAGAACCAAGAAGATGAATCCCTGCAGTCACGAAAGCTTTAAATCGATATTTGTCTTTTGTCAATGTGACACTTTTTTACTGATTGGCCGTGTCGGGTGGTGGAGGGTTACGACACATTTATAAATAACGCGATCTAAACCCAAAAACGTTGATTATAAATAGTAATAGGGTTTTACCCTTTTATCTGGCACCAAAACTGACACCTTTATACACGGGATCATGTTTGCAATAACCACAACACAAGCAGTCGAAATGCAAACAAGAAGAGACAACTCTGATAATGTATGCACTGTCCTTGAAATTGATTGGTCCACACCCGAGACGGCTTTTCTTAGAGCCTAGTCTCCACTGGTGTTGGACCAGATGACGCCAAAAGGCGTACAACTCAAAAACAGCGCACTATCAGAGTATTGAGAGCTCACAACCGTGCTTATCGGAGGTGAGGAGGGGAAAGGACAACAAACTAGAACGCAACGACAAGCAGTTCTAAATAAATTAGTTTTCAATCGAGATGATTTAAAAAGTGTACGTAAGGCCCCAGTGGATTCCTAATATCGGAAGGAAGAGCGTTCCAGACGGCCGCAGAGGTAGCGATGCCGGTGACCGGAGGTCACGTGATGGTGCGGGGAGCGGTGGCGCCGTGGTTAGCGCACAACGCCACGGAATGAATCGCGGGTGACCCGAGTTCGATTCCCAGCCACGGCTAACATCAGTGGCGAATGATATCAGAAGCCGTTCTGGGCCTTGCCCCGAAGGCGAGTCCATCCTCAAAATGGGTACCCGATGCGGTGTGTAAATATCAACACGGGGGGGGGGGGGAGAGACAAAGGCGGGCGGGCGTGGTTAGGGGCCGTCCATAAATGACGTCACCCCCCCCCAGCCTCGTCACACGGCGTCACAAAAAATCAGACCCCCCCTTAAATATGACGTCACAAAGCTCTGCCCCCCCCCCCTCGTCACACATCGTCACAAATGTCTGACCCCCCCCCCCCCCTAGGTGCGTAACGTCATTTATGGACGGACCCTTAACCAACCAATACACAACCCTTGTCGTGCACCGTGCGGGCTTTGACAAGGTGCACTCGCTAAACAGCAACTTGCCTTGGGCAGCCTGTTGGAGGCTGGAGGTAGGCTGGGGGCGCTGTTTGTCTTCGTTGGTGTTTGATGGCCGAGGGGGACGCGAGGGTGGAATGGAGCAGGCGACAGGGCTTTGAGCCCCCCCCCCTCTCTTCGACAACCCACCCCTTCTAAAGGCTCAGCCCCCCCCCCCACCTTGATATATCCTTAGTTGATATCGGGACAATAACACCAGTTATATGGCAGTATTTATTTATAATCAACGTTTTTGGGTTTAGATCGCGTTATTTATAAATGTGTCGTAACCCTCCACCACCCGACACGGCCAATCAACAAAAACGTGTCACGTTGACAAAAGACAAATAGTTCACTGCTTTAGCCCACCGGTGTGTTGAAGCGTGAGAACACAACATCCACATTTATAAATAACGCGATCTAAACCCAAAAAACGTTGATTATGAATAATATTGGTCGCGAAACGTGTTAAACTAAGTATTTATTTAGTTTGGAGTTTCACACTTGCGTTTAACGTTTGTTTAACACTTGTTTGACATTGACCGTGACCCACCCCCCCCAAATATATTTTTAAATATCTCCCCCCCCCCCCCCATTAAGCAAACTCGTGCTGCAGGGCTGCTTGAAGGGAGTCGGAAGTCGGCTGACAAGGTGGGGGGGGGGGGGATGGTGGCGACAGGGATCGTAGAGAGGGCCAGAGAAGTGAATGAATGGTTGGTTTGCGTGGGTGGAGTTGATGGGTTGGGTAGGAAGAGGAGGAGGAGGCAGTCACTCTAGGGGAGGGGAGGGTACGTGGTAGAGAGAGAGAGAGACTGACGGTGTGGGTTGGGTCGGTGAGTGGCTGAGCGAGCGAGCGGGGGGGTGGAGAACGCGAAGGAATGTGCACACGCACGCGGAGCGCACTAAACACGCCGCGGTCACATGACAGCGGCGCGCGCCGATGCGAGACGACGCCCGTGGAGCAAGTCTGTGTACCGAACGGTCGTGCGCTCCACGGAGCAGCAGCAGCAGCGTGCTGGCCAGACTCGAGACCAGGAGCAGCTCACAAGCAGGAGGACACGGGCAAGGCGGCAGCGGCGGCGGCAGCAGTCTCTCTCTCTCTCCATCAGTGGCAACAGTCATGGCGACTTGCGGTGTCGGCGTGATGCCGAGGAGCGAGTTGCTGGAGGTGCTCGGGCGTGGAGGTCGCTGGGGCCGCGTGCGCGTGACGCTCTCCCGGGACGCGCTCACGCTCTCGGGACCCGAGGAAGCGACGACGGCACTCGTCAACGGCACCGCCAACGGGGGAGGCGGCACGCCGCCGGTCCCCTCGCCGGGGACCGGTGGGTTGTCCAACGGGATTCGGAGCCCCAACCTGAGCCCCAGCCTTAGCCCGAGCCCAGGAGCGGTGGCGTTGAGCTGCGTCGGCGAGCCGCACACGGAGCAGAAGCGCGTCGTGCGCGTGTTGAAGCGAGAGTCGGGCGGCTTGGGGATCAGCATCAAGGGCGGCCGTGAGAACAGAATGCCCGTGGTCATCTCGAAGATCTTCCCGGGTCTGGCGGCCGAGCAGACGGGAGCTCTGCACGTGGGAGACGCGATCCTGGCGGTGAACGGAGCGGACCTGCGGGAAGCGACTCACGATCGCGCGGTGCAGGCGCTCAAGACGGCCGGCAGAGACGTGCTGCTGGAAGGTGCGGCGGAGAGGGATGGGGGTTGGTTGGTTGGTCGTGGTGGTCGTGGTGGTGGCGGTGTTTGCCGGTCTTGTTTTTCTTGTTCGAATACTCGCCGCGAAATGTTGCCGAGACGTGCCCGAAAAAAGTGGCGTTGATTTTGGGGGGAGCTGGTGATCGCTACAAGTTGTAGCCAACTTAGCGATGTTTCGTCGCTAGTTGAAAGCGACTTTTTTAATGTGTGTGTGTGTTCGCCCTAGCGGCTGTGTGTATATTTTGCCAAAGCGATGAGTGGTGTCGGCACGTTAAGCGACTTTGGGAAGATTGATGGCAGATGTGAAGTTTGGGAGCGATTCCAGATTTTTGTGGCAAGTGTCTTCATGATTGTAATTACAGCACCAGCGCCGCGCGGAGTTCTCTCTTACCGGGTATATATTTAGAATGTTGCGTTGGATTACGATGTTTTAATAGTGGCAAGTTGCCTCGTGACGCAATTCCAGGTAGTTGTATTACGTGTCCTGTTTAAGTTGACAGTGTGTAATGCAGTTTACGTACTTGGCTGTCGAGTAACATTAATCCGCTCTACATTACTCACCCTGTATCAATTCACCACACCTGTCAACCCATACGGAATTACCCCGTGTTCTTGTACCTACGTGACTTTACCGAAAAAAACCTAAGAATAGGGAAATGGAGTTTGCAGTTCCATACGGCCTACAGCCGCTTCAATACGGGCAAAAAAAGTGTTTCTCCCTTGCGATGAGACTTTGTCGGATGAACGTTGAGATTTATAAGTGGCACGGGGTGACCACTACGGTCTGAATTGGTCTGTAACAAGGTAGGGCAATGATGAGGGGTTGACATGTGTGTTCTGCTGTTAATACTTGGCCAAACTGTCCGTGGCGTGCGCTGTAATTATTCCACCGGACCGTGGCCTCTTCCCAACCCAACACCATCCAACGCCATCCAGCGTGAGAATATTGCTCAAGAAAAGCAAAAGCGAACCTGTGACCGGTTTCGATCTCCTGGGGCGTCATCGGCAGAGCCGGGCCTTGTTCAAGCAAATGCCACTTTGTGGGTTGGTTCTCGGCCGCCGTTCAATCGAAAGTTTAAAGTAAAAAAAAACCCACTGGCGCTGGGTGTGGTCAAAAAGTTTTGAGAGCTTCAAGATCTGACAAATCTTCTCTTGTCGGGCAACTTGTGATGGACGAGGCTAGCATCGCACGTGGTGCTGCCGTGCTCCCAGCACTCACGATGCCCGCTTCTCTGCAAGCGTATAGGTTCGATTCCCCGGGGCATGCGATTTTAAATATCAGTGGGAAGTTGAATATTCGAACCTGACCTGTGGCGCTTATGCCATCGTGTGCGTAGTCCCCTGTGTGTGTGAGTGTATGTATCTGTGTGTATGTGTGTCTGTATGTATATATGTGTCTGTATGTATCTGTGTGTATGTGTGTCTGAGTGTATGTATATATGTGTGTGTGTCTGAGTGTATGTGTGTGTGTTGGTGGGGAGCGGTAGTGTAGTGGTTATAGCGCTGCGCTACGAATCCCGGCGACCCGAGTTCGATTTCCGCTCACGGCCAACACCAGTGACGATTATCTGAACCGGTCCCTGTGCATCTCCTAGGTCGACTCGGCCTCAAATGAGCAACCGGTGCGGTGTATCAACATAGCCATTAGGGAGACAAAGGCGGCCGAGAGGGTGCTCGCGAGAATCACTTTGCATTCAACCTTCCGTTAAGGCTATACGGGGGATTTCTGTCCTTGTTTGGGGAGCGGTGGTGCAACGGTTAGCGCACTGCCAAGGTCAGCGTGAGTGGCGAAGTGGCACTGGGCCGCTGATAGGTCGCCCCATGCGGCGTGTGAAGACGTCGGCAGTGGAGAGACGAAAGCGGTCGGGCGTGGAGATCCCCTGGCCGCAGCCACCTCTGTTTGGGCTGCACCACGAGGGGCCGTCCCGAGCCCGCGGCTCGGTATGCAGAGAGTGGCTTGGACGTTACCGACTCGGTGGGGAGTGGGTGGGTGGGTGGGGGGAGAGAGATCTGTGTGGCCAAGTGTTTCCTGTGTGTGGATGTGGGTGGGTGTTGTGTGTGTGCTTGGGTGCGTGCGTGTGTTCTTGGGTCTGTGTGTGTGTTCTTGGGTCTGTGTGTGTGTGTGCTTGGGTCTGCGTGTGTGTGTGTGCTTGGGTCTGCGTGTGTGTGTGTGCTTGGGTTTGCGTGTGTGCTTGGGTTTGCGTGTGTGCTTGGGTCTGCGTGTGTGTGTGTTCTTGGGTCTGCGTGTGTGTGTGTGCTTGGGTTTGCGTGTGTGTGTGTTCTTGGGTCTGTGTGTGTTCTTGGGTCTGTGTGTGTGCTTGGGTGTGCGTGTGTGTGTGTGCTTGGGTCTGCGTGTGTGTGTGTGCTTGGGTCTGCGTGTGTGTGTGTTCTTGGGTCTGCGTGTGTGTGTGTTCTTGGGTCTGCGTGTGTGTGTGTTCTTGGGTCTGCGTGTGTTCTTGGGTCTGTGTGTATGCTTGGGTGTGCGTGTGTGTGTGTGCTTGGGTCTGCGTGTGTGTGTGTGCTTGGGTCTGCGTGTGTGTGTGTTCTTGGGTCTGCGTGTGTGTGTGTTCTTGGGTCTGCGTGTGTGTGTGTTCTTGGGTCTGCGTGTGTGTGTGTTCTTGGGTCTGCGTGTGTGTGTGTTCTTGGGTCTGCGTGTGTGTGTGTTCTTGGGTCTGTGTGTGTGTGTGTGCTTGGGTCTGCGTGCGTGTGTGTTTTCGAGTCTCTCTGTGTACTCGAGTCTGTGTGTGTTGAGCAGTTAAGCAATGCTTTGAGCACTTGCACTAAGACCCCGGGCAACCCGGGTTTAATTTCCTTCGGTGGCGTAGTGACGACATTATCAAGCTCAGGGGGTGCGGCGATCGGCCCCAATATTTGATTTGTCTCGCTCGGTCGCACCTAGAGGCTATTTATACATCGCGGCTCCTCTTGCCCTAATCGCATCGTCGTTACGCTCACGGTCTCGAACATTTAGCGCTGTAGGGGCGCTCCGTCTTCGCGGAATGAGAGCAACGACAGCTCCGTTGGTACCGCTTTGCAAGATTACGTTACCGCTCGAACTAAATTAAAATGAAACGTCGAAACGTTAAATGAAAGTCTTTTAATGCAAAATAATTTAAACCGTGTTTAACATTTTTTTGTGTTCTTTTACACTTTTGTTGATGGATAAAATCAATGGCGAGTGGTGCCAGAACTCTTTTTGAGCATACTTTTCGATCAGCACCTGATGTGATGCGTGTGACCATCAGCACTGGGGAGACGACGGCGGACAGGTGCGTTGGATATGCGGAGTTTTACTTGACATTTCTTTAAAAAAAAAATTTCTTCAGAACTGCCTTTTCTGTGTTTAGTTTGTTGTCCTTCCCCCCGCACCTCCGATTAGCGCGGTTACCTACAGAGCGGTAGAGCTTTCCAGACGGCCGCAGGAGCGCATCCGAAAGCGCGCGACGTGGTGACGGTCTTTGCTCGATGGCCAGCCAGAAGTCGCTGCCGTGGCATCATGGGTGGATGGATCAATGCGTGCTAGGAATAGTGAACTAACGCACACCAGGGGCATCTTGTCGACCGATTTGAAGTCGTGTTAGGGGGCCTTTTAGCAGCGAAAAGTTGGTAACGGGACGGTCGCCAAAGGATTGGGAGAGAAAACGTGACCGGTGGGGGGGGGGAAGGGCACGGCCACCATAGAGACGGAGCGATGGGGTCGGCTCACGTGCAGCAGCGAGATGATGGATCCGTGGCATTGTGCTTTCCCTTATCTACTACTTCCCGATGATGAAAAGGCTTTTCGTCCAGCAGTGGATAGACACCGGTTGAGGGTGATATGTAAATGTATAAATTATCGATGCCATCGGCAAATAGCGAACTGAATGAGCTGAGCTTTTACGATCGTGACCGACGTTTTCAAAACCTATCGTGGGCTTTTCAGAAGCCTCCCTTCGCGTTAAACACGGGAGGACATCGAGAGCCCAGCTTGTTTTATTGTGTCATGATTACATGGAACGGTTTAAAGTAAATACAAATAAATCACAGTGGTCAAGCAACTCGATTACATTATAGAACGCCGCTCATCTCACTCTCTTGCAGCTCGTACTCCGCTGTGGAAATCTTCACATTCCCTTGATGGAGCCCGAATTAGACATAGGCATCGCCTGCGAGTTGTGGAAAGGAGTTATTATTATATTGGAGCACGTCCATCGTGGAGAAGGAGCGATGAGATCGGCTCGTGTGTCAGTGCCGGGCGTTTTGTCGCACCGTGGGACCGCGAGGGAATGGCTTGAGGAGGCCTTCATCCGGCAGTGGATTGCTCATGACTGGTGTGGTTCGGTCATGTGTAGAGACAACAGGGAAATTATGTGGGTCAGAAAGTGGCGAGTGATGCAAGCGGAAGGAAAGAGATCAAGAGGAAGGCAGCAGCAGAAGATGTGGGGGGTGGGGGGGGCGATGTGGGGCTATGGGACACGGTGGCCCGAGGAGTGGGAAGAGAGATGGGCGCAGGACAGGGCAGAGTGGAGAAGGTTGGCAAAGACAGCGGACACACACCACGTGAGTGGGACAAACGCGTGCAAGAAGAAGTTGTAAGATTGGTCGTGGCTGATGATGACGATGTTGACGGTCACCGCATCGCGCGCTTTCAGATGCGCTTCAACGGCCGTCTGAAACGCTCGTCCTTCCGACATGAGGAAGCCACTGGATCTTTTAAATCTAGATTGAAAACTAATTTCTTGAACTGATTTTTTGTGTGTGTAAGCTTGTTGTCCCCCACCCTGTCCACGCACCTCCGATTAGCACAGTTTGCTACGTACGGTGCGATAGAAGTTCAACATAAGTACATGCGTACATACGTTGAGTCCGGGCCGTGACGAGCATATGGCTATCGATGGGCACTTAGGTTTAAGCGGTAGGCAAAGGTCACGATTATATCAATAAAGGTTGGATAACGTCAGATTTTGCCAGGATCCAATTCCTGAGCAGTGTTTGAGCAGCGTTAACA